CTCGTGGATGTGCTCCTGACCTCACTTGCCACTTTTGTTCATTGACACTGACAATTCTTTAACTGAAACATGCTCATTTGTAGATGGACACAGTTTGAAAGAGAAGTTTAGGATTGCTCTCTGCACAAGTTCAAGGGTGTGTGCAGAAATCACAGAGCACACAGTGCAAGTGGTCATAGCGGGACATGCAGGAAGGAAAAATAAAAGTGGGGCTGAAAATGGTCAAGAGATGCACGTGAAGATAATCTTAAAGGGAGAGATCGGGTAAACTCAAATCAGATACGGTTTTTGATTTTCATGATCTGGTTTCCAGAACATTTTGATTACACCTCATAACATTCAGCCTTTACTCCTCCCTTTCTCGCAGGGAAAGATTACTTTTCTCTAGAACTTCTGCTCTACATCACACTGCCCTGATTCATTTGGCCAGAAAAATATTAACCACTGCAAATGTCTTATTTGGCATCTATATTAGATATGAGAGGAGCTGGAGCCTATTCATGAGGTGCAAGTCTGTCTATCACAGGGCCAACACAAAAAGACAGACAACCAAGTTATGGTTTCTCCAATTCTGCTATCAGAGATCAGCCAAACAAATATATTAAGGACTTCAAGCATCCACCGATCTAAGATAACCTGAGCCACACTCCAGCGAGTCCACATTCACAGAGCCACATCACCAGCCTTACCTTTATATTGAGAAACCTAATGATAGTAGGGACCTGATTTGTTTTGCATAATTCCTTTTAAGAAGTTTATCTGTCCCCTGGATTTTTATTTCTTTTTCAGGCGAATCTGAGATGCGGTCAGGTGTAACGGAGGTGAAGAACTGACATGGAATTACCCCCATTACAAACTAATATTTTATTTTTAGAAACAAACACGGTTATTTAACAGCAAATAAAAGATGTAGTGTTACCATAAAACAATAATTAGAGTTATTATAGTTCCAATTTAAAACTATGTGTGGAAAAACTGTTTAATTATCACACTCATATTCACACAAACAGCCAATTCAGAATCACCACTTCACCCAACACACATATCTTTGGGCTGCGGGAGAAAGCCAGGGTACATGAAATGAACTCACACAGGGAGACTTGAGCCAGCCAGTGTATTCAAACCTAGGAGCCTTCCTGCGAGGTGACACCCTGCAGGGTATCGTTCCTTCATACACGGTTGAACAATTTTAACTGGCATATGCTTACATCCTTCAGGTATCTTCTCTGTAATGCATTTCTAAATCATTGAAAACCATCTTGACTTTACAGGCAAGAGTATTTATTTTTGTTAGGTGACATCAATCTGATAATTAATAACCAAATCTGATGCTTTGCACACAAAACTGACCTCAAAGTGAGGCAGCAGCAGTGACGCTCTCTTTGTAGCTACGACCGGCAATGAGACATTTCATTTTGGGATCCATCTGACTGACAAACCAACCTACAACAGCTGCTGGTCACAGTCAACAAATGTACCACTACATACCCACTAAATGAAAATTACCCATTTCACAGCAGCCCCACTCCACTGAAGAGTCAATGGCCTCATCAGATTTGCATCATCAACACAGCTGGAGGAGAGAAATGATGAATCTCCGTTAGAGCCACTTTGGCTATTTTTTCCAATCCATCTTTCTCTGACACACTTTTGAAGGGTCCTGCATGTCCCACTCTGCCTCAATTATCTGGCTATGCCCAGCTGAGATGCAATAATCCAAACCCTCATTCCCTGCAATTTCCACACTCATGACTGCACACTCACTTGCCTTAAGTTCACAATCACTTATGTAGGTGCTTCTTCCCCTACCTTGAGGATCAGAGAGACATGAGCTCTGGCTGTAGGCTAAAGGGAAGAGGGATTTACCCGCTATAGGTGTCAGTGCTGGAATATTTAAATTAGAACGTATACATGCATACATATGCAAACTAAATTTAGCCTCCTGAAATTACAATCCACTGCAGAGTCAAAGTTGTGCGGATGCTTGTTTGTTGGAAAAAAGTGGTATAGCTCATACGAGCAGTTTTTGCTACAAAAACACAAAATACTAAAGCAGACAATAAATTCCCTCTCGCTATTTAGATGTAAGACACTTTTAGTGGCTCATCTTCTCCATGATACTGCAGCGTGATATAGTTTCAGTAGTGAATTTTGCTGAAGTTCCACAGGAAATATTTAAGATGTGACTTAACAAAATACCAAACATTCAGAAATTTGAAACTAAAAAACAGAAAAGCTAAAAAGCTATGGAAATCTTTCCAGAGTGTGTCTCTTACAGCAAAATATATCCTGTGACACGAAACCATAAATGGATGTAGAAATATCATGCAACTCAAAAACACTTGAGTGTAATCTCTCTGTCCTACATCTAATTATTTATCAATCAAGTTATATATCTATATAGATATATAATTTTTTAAAAACACAGTGGATCATTCAATCTCAATTCATCCAATTAAAAAAAACCACCATGACATATTTTGAGTATAATATTAACAGAAAGGTGCTCTTTGTAAAATAGTTAATTTAGATTTAGTATATGGTGTCATACCTCAGAAATATCACAGTGAAGAAATATCAGTCCCCTACCTGCAAAGTTATGGTTTCTCCAATTCTGCTATCAGAGATCAGCCAAACAAATATATTAAGGACTTCAATCCACCGATCTAAGATAACCTGAGCCACACTCCAGCGAGTCCACATTCACAGAGCCACATCACCAGCCCTACCTTTATATTGAGAAACCTAATGATTGTAGGGACCTGATTTGTTTTGCATAATTCCTTTTAAGAAGTTTATCTGTCCCCTGGATTTTTATTTCTTTTTCAGGCGAATCTGAGATGCGGTCAGGTGTAACGGAGGTGAAGAACTCACATGGAATTACCCCCATTACAAACTAATATTTTATTTTTAGAAACAAACACGGTTATTTAACAGCAAACAAAGATGTATTGCAAATTAAAGAACAAAAACATCTGAAGTGTTACCATAAAACAATAATTAGAGTTATTATAGCTCCAATTTAAAACTATGTGTGGAAAAACTATTTAATTATCTAACACAAACAGTCAAACCTAGACTGTAGGGGGAATAAAAGAACTGAAACAAAGCTGCCTATTTATAAATCTGTACTTAGATAGAAATAAGCAAAAGGAGACATTAATACCTAATCTGAGCTCTTTAAATCTGCTCTAAACATAGTTCATGTCATAATAATAAAAATATCTGCAGATAGTATGTTTCTCACAAAATATTACATTTACAAATTGCAAATAAAATCTACAAAACATCTTGTAATTACACAGTCACGCCCACATAATTTTTATCATTTTTGTTTTTAACCAACAGCCCAGGTGTAGCCTTAGTTCAGTTTTGAAGAAAAAACTTGGTTACCAGAAGACACACACCGGTGCCAATGAGCTTTGAGCTGTAACTTACAATTCTCCACAGAAAAAGCACCAGGCTGGCCACAGTGTATTTAAGAGCACCTTCCTACAATAAACCACAACAGCACATAGTTATGCCTTACAGTGCACTGCATGGACAACACCAATGTTTAGTCATCCTAGTAAAAATGCTTGTTTTGCAGATAAATCAACATTAAAGAAACCTGTTTCATTTTTTGTCATCAGCTTGCTGCAGCAATGACAAAACAACCCGGCTGCTGAAAACATCCACAATTAGAGAAACATTCACTGAGGTTTCCACCTGTGTAATCTGACACAATCAAGTGAAAAAGCTCTGCAATACATTTCCTGTCTGGCACTCCTGTAACTTGTTTCAAATCGGCTCTGACTTCTCAGGGAGCAGATAGTAGTGGTGGCGGCATGCTCAGATTTATTATTTTTTATAAAGGTATACCTAAAACACTGTCACATGAAAACCTTCAAAAATATTGACAACGCTGTTGTCAATGTGAAACTTTGTGTTATTATTACATTACATGAACATATGCGTGGGAAGCTTACCAGAAAGGTGCGACTATTTGAAAATTCTCAGAGCAATTTCACTAGAATTTCTTGCCATTTGTTTTACTGAAGAGACCACACACACACACACACACACACACACACACACACACACACACACACAGCATCATCGTTACTTGAATGATTAGGTATTATAAAAGTCAGCCCCGCAGTTCATGTGTGACAGCTCTGTTCTTGTTTCTTTGTCATTTCTCCTCAGTGTGTGTCTTTCATTTCGCAGATAACCGATGACAACGAGGCTTTGTGGATGCACACAAGACATGCTTTCACAATACATAAAGCTCGATTGTTGACTTTCTCTAGTGGCACATCAGACAATAGATGTGCTTCGGATTCATGTCCTGTAGCGTTTATAGATATAGGAAGCGATCCAGAAGCAGAAAAGCTTAACGCTAGTTATTACGACCAAACCACCTACTAACCCTAACCCAAAGAGACCAGAAATTCATGGAAAACACACTTAAATGTATGCGTATATTTGAGGGGCATCATCAATATGCTCCTGTAATCTTGCTCAATAAGAAAATGTCACACAATCCCACTAGGGATATTAACAGCATTTTCCTGAAGGAAACCTTACAGCGAATCCTTAACCACAAGCTGACAAAAGAACTGCCTAATTAAAGCATCTGACAATGCGATGAAAAAATGAATAACACTCACATTAGATCAATAAAACATTTACACCCGTCTGTGTCCTAAACCAAGCTTTGTTCTACATCTTTACTACAGCACTGCACTACAATTCCAGGTGGAGGGCTCATGTTTCAAGCACCAGATGTGAAAAGCACACACACACAGAGGAGAGAGAAGAATCACATGCAATGCTGAAAACTAAGACAGTTTTCTTCCAGTCTCCATTTATATAAATAAGTCCAAACAGAACTCAAACAAATCAGAATCAGGTAAACAACCGATCTTCAAGTGCAGAATTATGAGTCATGCGAGCAGGGATAAAGAGAGACTACGTATCAGAGGGTTTACAGAGAGGTCTTTGGGACCAGGTCCTACCTGATGCACTGAACTGACTGCTTCCAAGTGTGGTAGGCCTATTTTTCCCTCCGCTTACAGGTGGAGAGAACATCTGAAAGGAGAAACACAGAAATGCATACCTACAATTAGAGCAAGTCAGATGTGCAAAAGCAACCATTCACATAATCCAGTGCCATGACACTAAATCAAGGTTAGCCTGTGAAATCATACTACTCGACATACTAACAGGAATTGATCAATTAGTCATTATTAAGCCTGTTTAATCATCACATGTCTTGGAGCTGCATGGCAAAGCGTTTAAAAAAAACCCAACCTACCGCACTAAAGTCCAGCAGGTCACTTAGTTCCTTGTCAGTTCCGAGAGCGGCAATCCGCTGCTGGGGGTTCATCCTGGCGATCTAGAAAGCTGGAGAAGACAAAGTCCATCAGATTACATCTTTGCTGGTTTATTGAGCAGAGGGGACTAGTACCACATGAAATGACTGCCGCGGGAGGTATTTGTTATGGATGAAGAATAAAGACCATCACTGTGAAGTAAAGTTGACTATGGCTTTAACCTTCATGTGGCAAACACGGACAGAACGGGCGTATAATCACTGATGAAAGTGTGCAGAAATGTTTCTCTTTACTTGTTTTCTCTCACTGCGCTGATTAAGAGAGATGAGACCGTTAGTAGGAGCGCTCTGAATGGATGGCTCTGCTTGTTAAAGCCAGGACCTGCAGCATCGCGTTAGAGCGCCGTCAACGTGCCTCTGTTATCACTCCGAGACGTTTAAACGACCCTCTGCCCGGGCTGTCACTAACCGTGTTAATGTCAGTGGTCTGTGCGGCTTATTTTCCACGTATAACGATGGTTATCGCCTACTGTTCGCGGAGGCACCTAACGTCGCTTAGCTAAGCGGCTAACACTAGCTGCAGTCCCTAGTTCATATGGGTTGAAAATAGCTAGCGAGCTGCAGGCAGCTGCAGCGTTTTTAGTCCGTGTAGACAGCAGTACGGAGAAGACAATGCCCTCCGATAGACCGAAACGTAAATTACAGACCACTTCAAGACAGGCAACACAGATAAACAAATACTGTAAATGATAATCTCAATTTCCAGCTCCGGAATACAAAACGCAGTGATGGTCTTTCTCAACTCCCAACTTCTTTCACGGGTCCGAAAGCTTTTTGGCAAACTCCTTCTGATATTTTACCTGTTTTCCGATTAAAATCCCGACTAGGGTGATCTGGTGAAGAGTCGTTTTCTGAAAAGACGCCTCAGAACAGCGAAATGTGGGTTTAAACAGCAATTACTGGGGGAATATCCTCTATATATATCAGTTACGAGTTTCCCTTAGGCAGACATTTTTGCTTTGCAAAAGCCTCAGCACCACGATGACATTGGTTACTGTATCCCTCCGCCGAGCTCAGTGACATGATGGTCCCACACAGGGGGAGATGCTGCGGGAGTCAGCGCGAGCTGCTGTCCTGGGTCGCGCTGATGCACGACAGGTTTATCTGTGCGTTATTATCACTGACTGCTAATGCGAGTTTTAGCAGACTGTGGAGTAACACTGTTCCTCAAAATTCAGAAATAAGGGCAATGAAATGATGGGAGTCTGATTTCCCAGTTTAAATAGGTTTTTATTAAAGATTAGCCATAATTGCCATATCAGAATCAGAATACTTTATTGATCCCTGGGGGAAATTATTTATATACTCCCTCGTTATGTTGTATCCAGTTTAATCACTGTCTGTTGTCTCTGCTTGTTTGAAAATTTACCTTTAAGGATGGATGGCTTACCTACTGCAAATCAACTGTACCTACTGGGTACAAATAACCTGAACCTGAACCTTTTATCTTTATCTTTCCTGCATAAACGTAGTACATACTAGAGCATCCCACACTTCCAGATTAAAAAAAAAAAACCTTCATGTTCACTGCATGTAAGATATGGTCATTTTATTTGTTATAAATTTGTAAGACAGTCTAAACCAGTGATTAAAGTAAATCAGCAGCAGAGTGGATCCTGTATTATCTGCGTTGTGTGGTAAATGATACCTTTATTTAAAATCTGTTTACCCCAATCTTTAGTTTCTAAGTAAAGTATGCCCCTGTTTTAAAGTCACTTTATTCAAAGAGCAGGACTGCAGAGGTTTCACCTCAAAATTTCTGCTTTAATCAAGTTCTCATTTTTATAGATGTTTTCGGGGACTTCACTCCTTTATTTCTCAGTTAAGAGGCAGATTTATGTTTTGTTAATGCAATTAGATAAAGGTATCTGCATTTCGTGAATTACTCTTGGGTCTGCTTTTCTTTCACAGATTTAATAAGCGGATCAAAAGGTGTGTGTGTGTGTGTGTGTGTGTGTGTGTGTGTGTGTGTGTGTGTGTGTGTGTGTGTGTGTGTGTGTGTGTGTGTGTCTGATTCAGTTCTTTCCAAGAGAGAGAGTAGATGTTGACTTTTGTTTGATTTCTGAAAACTGTTACAATTGTTGTTTAAAATGTTCTTTATGTAACCTAATTATGCCAAAGCAGAACATTTTCATAAAAGTATTACTCCTTAAAATTTGTGTGTATTCTATATGTCTGAAATGATTAAAAAAATATTTCACTGGAATAACTTTTAGTAGAAGTTTGGAAAACATACATTACTTTTAAAACAAATGTGGCTGCTACATTAAAGGAAATAATTCCACGCTAATGACACATAACCAATAACAGTAATATTAGCCGTGTTCCTGTGAATTCTTTTCCAATGATCATCATGATGTAAAAATCTAGCAGACCTGTTCTGAACAACAGTCTGGGACTTTGTGACAGTTCCTTAGACCTTTCCTTTTAATGGACAGCAGGGAGCGACTCCTGTTGTTGCAACATGACTTCAGTTTGTGTAGAAGTCAGGGCTAAAACGGCCCCAGAGTTTCTTGCTCTATGACCTCTGAAAGCCTTTTCCTAATGAGTTTATGGGCTTAGTCACAGTTTCAGATCACAGTGAACAAAACATGAAGTCAGTTTTGTAAATGGTGGTCATTCTAACAATTAGAAAGGAGAATTATCCAGGGTATGTAGGGTATACTCAACACAAGTCTTCGTGGTTGGACTTTACCAACCATCTTGGTGGCTATGTCCACATATGAGGTGGGCCGGCATTGTTCATCTTCATGCTTGGGCTTGCTGATTACTTCTCCAATCACTTGATGGTAGCACACTCCAATCAGGGCTGTTTGTGTTTTCATGTTGAATTTGCAGCAAATTTTCACAAATGAATGATCATATATATTATTTAGAACAAGAAAGAGCAGCAACCCTCAAAATAAAAAACAAAGTGAAACAAAACTGAGGCAGGCTACAAGAGAAAACAAGTACAAAACACAGATCTGGTCTCTTCTAGATGTTTCCAGTTGGATAGGCAATTGAGCTTAAACTCTGAGATAATTTTGTAAGTGGGACCTGATGGGCACCGATTCTCCGTCACACTTGGGAAAGTGGTGGGTCTTTAACTGATTGACTGAGGCCACTGAATCCTACACACTGGTCCTTTAACACAAAATTAGCACCTCTTTAACCTGAACTCAAAGAGCAGATGTTTAAATCAAGAGTTAGCATTGTTTCTGTTTGACAGGTTGAGTTTGAGTGAGAAGGCAGTTAGGTGTGGGTGTTCACGGTTGATTGAAACTGTTATGACTGAAAAGGGAACAAGTTTGCAACAGAATTTTCATAGAGTGCAAAGCCGTGCAAGGGTGAGATCCCACACTCGCCCCTGCGTGTGGTGTACCTAAATCTGTCTCATTCAGCCAGAATCAAAGCTCTACAAGAGACATGCTCCTAGTTGCCTAAACAAGAACAAAATCTCCCAACTCAACATTAATTTTTAAAGTTTAAGCACTTCATCTCGCAAACCGTAAACTTAAAAGCAGTATGTAAACAGCTACAAATCACCAACAGAACGAGGTGTCATAAAAGCCATGTGTGAACCTCATGAGGAGCAAAGAGGGGTGTGCATCACCAGGGCTTTCCCCTCCCATCTTATCCAGATGTTTTATTGAATGGGGCCTGTTCCACCTAAACTTCAGCTTCAGTAAACTTTGTCCCAGAACCACCCACACACTTCTGGCACTGTTCTCACTGATTCATGTAAAAAACTAAATAGACATGAGAGGCTGGGAAAGGAGGCCCACCAGGATATGGGAGGACAAATGTTTATTCCTTTGTTGCTGTGATTGTGCAGACTCCCTTTGGCTACCTTCCGCACTGATATCTTGTGTTGCAAATTAAAATTAATATCTAGTCTTTATATCAGTGTTTATAATTTAAGTTTTAAGACTGTTTATTTGTTCTAGGGAAATAAAAACAGAGATACAAACTTCTCTTTAGACAGTAATCTGGCTGCTTCTTTTCTTTGAGAGATGTGAGTGGTCGTGTGCGGCATGACTTGCTGTGACACATAAAAGCTCAGTGTTGGTGCTGTGGGTTTCTAATTTCTACTCATTCTTATAAGAGGTTTTAAATGTGTGGGAAGGAGAGAAGCAGTCGACCTCCAAAGCAAGCTCATTTAAAAGCCACACACATAGCTGGACATATTGTGTTTTTTCTATATAGCACACGTGATGCACCGTAGCGCATACAATGTAAATATGTAAGTTTTAGTGCATCATCTGAGCAGTACTGCTTTAGATTAGGACATAACATTGCAGCTGCAATAGCATGCACAAGTTTTTTTAGATTGTAGAGCGTAGAGAGCTACCATCAGGGAAAAGAAGAGCAATGGAACAGATGTCATGGCTCCTGTAGAGCCCTGATCCCAACATCATAAAGTTAAGCTAAGATTAAGATGCTGACAGCCAGTTTCCCAGATATAGATTAAGTCTAGTCCTAAACTCAAAGAAAATGTCAATGAAGTTTTGGAAAGAATGTGTGCAGGTGCAGACTCGAGGTCTTCATTTTTTCTGTCAAATCAGCCTCATTTTAGTCGTGGTGCCTAAAACATTTGCGCTGAACTGTTTAAGGGTGCATCCCAGCAAACAAAAACATCTCAATACTGCTGCATGTGAACACTGGTGAAGGCTGCACATTTATTCTGAAGTCACATCTGGCACCAGCTTAGACAGGGTGACTTATGGGGTGCAGTGTAATGATAAATATTAGAGGCTTCACATTCTTCATCACTCGCTGACAAGTGGCCGACAACAAGCTGACCCCCGTGTTCACTGGATCGCTTTGATAAAGAGAAAGACCCGTATTTTTGCTCATTTCTAATCAGCACTAAACCTGTACCGTGGATTCCCTCGTCTCTCACTCTGAGACAGATTTTGACAAACCGCAATATGAATGTAAAGCCTGCGACACAACGATCTTAAAATGATAAAACACAGTCACTGATGTGACAGCAGGGCAGTTATTATTCTTATTAAACACACGTATTACAAGCTAATTAACAAAAATATGTCAAGTCATTACATGTTTAGACCAAGTGAACCATTTGTTACATCTGGCACAGGCTGCTGATCATTACACGGGTACAGGGCTGAGTTTTTTTATGAAGCCCCCCTGAATTAATTTGAGAACATCCACACTGTGTCAGTCACCTGCTTCACTGCCATTCATTTTCTACTCAGCAATTGGACATAAAGGATCCAAGCAAACAGAGCACAATGAACTCAGAAGATTGTAGACGAGAGATGATTTCCACATTGTGTAACTGAACATAGTGCCTCATATGATTTATTACCACCTGAAACACCGCTGAACCTACTTAATGATGGAAACTGCAGGGCTAAATTATCAACTTGTTGAAAAAAAAATACTTTATTTGAATATAAATGTATATTGAAGTAAAACCAAAATGTCTAGAAAACATGAGTTAAAAACATGTTTTCTCATTGAGGATCCACTGAGAGCGCTCCTACCTTACATTATTAATTGCAGGCTGCCACCTGTTGGACAAACACAGATCACCCTGAACTTCCGATACAATTTTATTTATAAAGCACATTTAAAACAACATTTACCAAAGTGCTGTACTTTAACACAGACACCACAGACGCATGCGCAGATACAATAACAATCAAAAAATAAAATGTCTGAAATGCTGTCATTTTGTTAAAATGTAAAGTGTTACATTTTAACCGGGCAAGTAAAATGTACTTGATTGGTGCACATTCGGTTTATACCAAGGATATTTTTCTTAATGATTAACTATTTACATAAATAAACAAATTATTATTCTTTGTTTATTGAAGGCAAAGAATCACAGTTTTGAGAGCAGCCACACAATAATAAACATAGCTAAAAGCCTAAATATCTACAACTCTCGCTCAGGGTTCAAGCCAAGCAATGAAACTGAGGCGTACTTTACAAATCTGCAAGAAGGGGGAAGTGGAACTCAATCCACAGTTTACAGGGCTCGTCCTGAGAAAGTTCAGTCCCTTCGATTCTTCAGTCTAGTCTTCAGGACAGAGGGGAGTTACTGGTTAGCAGATGTCAGTGACCTCTAATGAACATAGTCAAAGGAGCTTGCAAGGAAAGCGTCTGGACTTCTTTAAGTTGCTTGAAGAAGTTTCACCTCTCATCTGAGAAGCTTCTTCAGTTCTAAGGTCAAATGGTGGAGAGTCCCAGATATAAACCCAGTTTCACACCTTGGCTCAGGCGATTAGAGGATCATCAGGGGGTCCTTTTGTCCCTCTGTGGGGGGTTACTCCCACTAGGTTTATATCTGGGACTCTCCACCATTTGACCTTAGAACTGAAGAAGCTTCTCGGATGAGAGGTGAAACGTCTTCAAGCAACTTAAAGAAGTCCTGACGCTTTCCTTGCAAGCTCCTTTGACTACGATGACCTGGATGACTGAGAACCTTCACAGACATCTAATGAACATAAGGTGTTGAGAGGTCAGAAGGCTTTAAAAACATGCAATAAAATCCTGAAGGCAAGAGTGAAGGCAGGCCAGGAAAGGGGCGATACGCTCCAAGTTACAGGTTCTAGTAAGCAGGCAAGCAGCAGCATTTTGACCCAATTCGAGGAGTGAAAGTTAGCATAACTCACACAAACATAAAGGGCATTACAGTAGTCAAGGGGAATTGCAATAAAACCATGTATAACATTCTCAAAATTACAATAAGAGTAGAAGGACTTGACCTTAGAAAGATGCCTCATTTGCTAAAAACCTTAATACAGGATTAATCTGTTTATTTTCACACCGAGGTTATTTTTGAGCACTACTAGGTCATGACCTCAGTCCTGCTTTTCATTAAAGCTTAAAATAATTTAACATCCAGGCTATGATGTCACCGCCTATAACCTAAGTACCTCACCAAACAGGAGAAAGGTTCACAAGATAAGGTGATAAAATATTGTTTTGTTTTTAATTTCAAATATGTCGCAACCATTTAAAGCAAACATCAAATAAGTTAAAAGAATTTACCATTATCGTTATAGAGATATTTCAGGCATTGTGAGCAAACGTGCTCATATGGCATTTTTGTGCCATCTTAAACACATAGTGCATGTACACGAGGGTACGATATATCACAGGGCTCTTGCTAGTGTTAGGTCAGTGTAACAATAAAACTCAAAGGAAGGTTTCAGTTCAGTTCTTTTTTATTTCAAACATATACATTCACCAACGTTTCATAAAATCATTCCATACAGTTGTTTGAAAAGGAGTAGGCAGAAGTATATACTTATTTAGCCCTACCCCCTCAGGTTTACATCCTCATCATCTAAATTTGAACAACAAAAACGTATACAATGCCTTCAACTTAGAACATAACATCTCAAAACAATATTTTCACATCCCTCCAATTCCTTCCTACATGATCTAACCTAGCTGAGGCAAATGCATGCCTGTTTATCTGAACACATCGTAGAAGCATGTTAGAGGCTGATGTCACTGTTTTGCTATGTGCTACTGCCAGAAAAACCCCACCCCTGTTCTCTGCTGTCCCCATTTTGTTGGTTTTGAAAACACGAGGGCACACATGAGAAGACAAAGTAACCTTCTAGCTTTACTGAGGCCAGAAGACAGTCACTGAACAAGCTTGTGTCAAGCTAATTGGCAGGATCAGAGGAAAGGATTTGTTATCATCGTGGGTATCTGATCAGAATGAAAGAGAATACAGCTATCAACACTAAAAGGCAAACAAAAACACTATTAGGCTTCAAGTCTTTAACTTCCAACTTAGTTAAGGATAAATAAAGTTATTAGTTAAACCAACTTAATCTGTAGAAGTGGAAAGAGTGGGAAAGAGCCGAGTTCCTAAATAATGGAAATGAATGTGTTTATACAGTATTATTGTCTTTGACTTGAGTGTTGAGTATGAGGGGTTATGGATTTCTGTTTTAGTTTGTCTTTTGTTTTTCACGATTGTTCTTTTCCTTTAGCATTTATTACATCCTCTGCATATCCACTAGTTCATGTTCCTAGGTTATATTGTAGTCGAGTCCATGTGCCTTGGTTATGTAATATTTATTTGTCATCTTTTGCGATCCCTTTCCGTTTCCCCATTCATGTCGCTGTTTCTGTCTGGTCTCTCTGTACAGTCTCCATGGTTTCATCCAAGTCTCCATCTTGATGTTTGGTGTTCTCATGTTTTGATTACTCCCCGTTTTATTTTGATTGCCCCTCGTCTCTTGTGCACTGTGTTAAGTCTTCTTCCTTTGTCTTGTTTTACTCCAATTAGTTTCAGCTGTGTTCCCATCTGTCCAATAATCTGGTTGGTGTGTATGTATTGTCTGAGTGTCCCTCTGACCTTTGTTACTTCTTCCGTCATGCCTTGTGCTCTCTCACCTTGCTTCATGTTTAATGAGGTTGAATCTTTCCGTCTTTATTTGAACCTGCACAGCATTTCTATTCCTTGTCCCCTATCTCAAATATCCCAATATGTGGTCTACAGAGTGGTCAGCGCTGTGAGGTCTACGCAAGTCTTCTACTCTGTACAACAGACCTGAAGAGATGCAGAAAGTGGTTAAAGCTCATTCACGACCTCAAATTTGATGAAAGGTGGTATTTCATAATTTCCCCACTTGAACTATTCCCTTTAAAATTCTCAAGTCTATTTTGATATTGTCTTCCTTATTTGGGAGAGCAAGAACACCCGAACACATCTGAGTCAGAAGGTGGCACGTGCATGTGGGATGCTAAGGTAAATAAATGCATTTGGAGGCTTCAGAAATTGTAAAATAAATAAATAAAAATAGAAGTGTTGTGTGCTATGATTGGTGCAAACCAGTTATCAATACTTCAGACCCTGAAAAAGGCAGTTTTCAAAGAAATTTTTTATGAATATATATGAAGAAGTTAAGGATTGTCACCCGTATTCTACTCATTCACTTTCAGAAAAGTTCATATTAATTTAAGCAACTTTTGAATTTCTACCTTGTCAAGTTTAATAGTGTAAAAGTTCAGAGAGAGCTGAATACCAGCAAGCATTCTCCAAATACCTCCAGTGATTAGTCCTGTTAAACGATCTTGCAGGTTTTGTGAACTGCTGTGGAAGACGTTTAACATGATGACATCATAGCTGACATTATAGCCAAAGAGCCAGATGAGTATTGGAGGGGGATAAAAGAATATTTGTTTTAATAGTTTTTATTGCACCAGTCCTTAAGGCACATCACACTGTAAGGTAAATCCCCAGCAGTTTTTTCACTTCCTACACTATTTGTCATTCAGAAAATAATTGTATTAAACATACCTTTCTAACCTACTGCCCTGAATGAGCCTGATAATTCAGGTTAAGCTTTAAATATACTAAGAGTCATTAAAAGCTTAATAAGTACTCCGGTAACATTTTTCATACACAAAAATAAATATAACAGAACAATTAAGTAATGAAAAAGGGTTTAAAAGCTTTTTTTCACGTGAGTAGTCTTGCAAGACCAAGTTGTCGGGTCTATATGGTGCTATGCTAATCCTAACCTTAATGCCACAGGCAAGCAGGGATCACGTGACTGGCATGCTGACTTACAATGAATGCTGCTGTGTGTGTGTGTGTGATGTGATTGATATCCATGCTTGTAACTGCTACATTTAAACTTAACCTGAATTAGACTTCTTAGACCAGAGTTCTCCTGGGCAGTGGGTCTCAAAAATGAAAAATATTGAAAGAAGGTAGGTCAACAAAAGCTTTTTCAAAGGAATATATCTTGAAAAGTGAAGCTAAAACCTCAGAGAGAGGACTATGTTTTTCCAAACTATGAACCATTCAATTTTGAGGCAAACTGGGGACCCACATTGATTTAGGATGGAGTGACCCACAGGCCCATGAATGCCACCTCTGGGAGACGTTTCCTGGAATCATCCTTCTTACAACTCTTTCCATTCCTTGTTTTTTGGAGGCATCTTTACACTTCTTAAAATAGGCTGAACATCTGGACCTCCATTTCATGGAGGATAAAACTTCTCTTGAAGTTCAAGAGGTATGCCTGCACCTGAAACAAAGAAAATAACTGTTTTTAATTGCTTTATAAAAACAAAACAAAAAACCCAACAACTGTACTTTAAACTCTGACTGCCTCCACTCTAAATTAATGATAATATATACAGATGCAATAGAAATGCTCTAATAATGGTATTAGGCTCAGTCTAACAGTTTAAAGTCAGCTGCCTTAATATCCAGAAATGGAAAAGTTGGGCTACTTTTTCCTTTTCTAAGTAATTTGCTTCTGGAAGGTTAGTAGTTCTAGTTCTTGTTTGTCTTTCCTGCCGGGTCATCACCAGTGTAAATTATCTGCCTCCATCTAACCCCTCCTTTGCCTTCTCCTCTGCAACAACAACCCTCTACATGTCCTCCTTCATCCATGAACATTCTCTATGGTCTTCCTCTTTTCCTCCTACCTGGCAGCGCCATCTTCACCGTCCAACATTTTCACCATCCCTCCTCTGCACATGTTTAAACCTCTGTCCCTCTGCTACACTCATTTCTAATGCTGTCCATCTTGGTTACTCACAATAAAACTCTTAAAATCTTTAACTCTGTACGATCCTGTCTGACACTCTTCACCCCCAGAACAGCTTTGACGTACTCATCCACCCAGCCTCTACACCAGAGAATGGTTAGTTGTTTGCAGATCCAAATGGAGAATGCAGGAGGGGGAAGGTTAAGAAAGCAACGATAGAAAAAATAAAACATTAAGGCAGAATCATGAAAATAAGCAGAAACTGACACTAAAGCTTAAACTTTTTAAAATGTGGCAAACAAGAAAAAAACAATAACAAGCAAACAGAATATGAAATAATAGCAAGAATTCAAAGTTTATAACAGAAAACCCAAGGACTGTGACTTTACCTTACAGCATGGTAGAACAGTCAAGTCCACATCCCAACACTCTTCACCTTGCTTCCCTTCCGCCTGGTCTCCTGCAGAAACATATCTGCCTTCCTCCTGTCCATCATATCAGCTAGCTAATTTTAAACACCCTACTCTCACCTCCGTATACCTACCTTTCCTTCTCTCTTGTTGCCTCTTCCCCATAGCCTGTGGTTAGAAAAATACATGGAGTACACCAAAGGTGGAGGATTCTTTGTGATGTAGAAGCAAATTTTATTTTGGGTCTGCATTTTCAGAGGCAAGATATGAAGACTCATATGTACGTTTAATATTGGTACTCCTTCACCAAAGGAGTAAAAACGAGAAGGAACAACAACGCCACCAAAATAAGAGTAAACACCAGCACAGTAGCCCTTCCCACATTCAAGGGTTGCAGAGAAAAAAGTTTTAAGAGCGATGCTGAAGTTGCCTGCTTTCTGCTTGAAAGCTAAGTTAACAAGTCAGTGCAAGTGTTGTAGCAGATATGAAGTTTAATGGGTAATTTCTCAAAAAAAAAAAAAAGTCTTACAGCCATACAACAATGTGGGGGAGAAAGGGACCATCAGGTTATGCCAAAGAAAAACAACAAGAAAACATCGAAGAAGAAAAAAAAAGTCTTAGTCCTCAGCTTACAAAATAAGCTCAAACATTACATGGGTGGCAACAACCTTCTTACCTGGTGTGTTTAACAGAAAACAGCCTACATGAGGAAATGTACAGGGTCCCCCAGACTTTAGACAAACAAAAGAAATGCACCAGAGCAGCTCAACACATGTGCCAAGCAACCCTAACCAAGGAGAAAAGAGCCCCCTCTAGCCACAGGTGAGTTTCCTTTTATAAGGGTGTCCTCACTCCCGGTTGGTCCATTCAAAGCCTCCTCCTTCTAATTAGGTGGAGATTCCCAAAATGACACCAGCCTGCAGTCTACCTTGGGAAATGGCTAGCAAAAGGAGAGGGAGAAAACAGGCAGTCTGCAGACACGTAACAGTTTTTTAAACATCTTTCATCCTGTGATGCTAGGATTCTGCGGGAGGGGTAAGAAAATAGAATTCAGTTGTTTGCAATCTCCTTACATTTGGCAGTAAGATTTTCCACAGTGTACCTTTAAAATTTTTGTAAAGTTTGAAGACCAACATGGATCAGTTATTTATATCATTAACCTTTTCCTTGCCCCTACTAATATACTAATCACAGATGAACACAGACATTTCCCTGCTGCAGTAGTTTTACTTACTACGTACTCTATTCATTATAATCAGAGACACTTTCATTCTCTGGGCTCTGTATTCTGGACAGGTGGGAGATGGATTTAACTGAGCCAGAGCAAATTTAATTGTACGTAGAATTCAGTTTTATTTATACTCTGCCAAATTACAGTATAAGTCATCAGAGGACAGCTTACAGTGCTACAGAGAGAAACTGAAGAAGTCCCTTGAGCTGTGGTGAGGGGAGAGCAAAGACTGAAATGAGGACCTTGATCTGAGAGTAGAATCTGCTGCCATGATGATAAATCTGCATCCCCTGATTTGAAAAGTGACACACAAGCGATTAGCACTGATGATCCCCAGTGGATATTGTCTACATTAAATTAAAATAAATGCTAAAAAATAAGAGGAATATAAATGTAAATGTGAACAGTTGTGTTTTCTGTCATTTCTGTCATTTCTGGATTCTCACAATGGTGGATATGAATATTAAACACGGCTGTAGTTTCAGATAACGAGGTCAGTACATGTATGAGTAATCCTTATGAGCCAAACACTTCAGTCTGTTCCAAACACTCAGATCCTGACGTTTTTTTTGTTCTTGTTGTTGTTGTTGTTTCCCCAAATCTTGGCTCTGTAAAACGTCACAGAAGGCATAACCATAATATGGTCAGGATCACGGAAGCCCCTCCCAGTTGCTGATGAAAGAGGTAGCCAATCAGAAGAAAGTTTCTTTAAGGGAAAAGCATTAAAAGGCCTTATTTCCGACAGTACATGAACAGAAGGTCTGCATCTAGACCCAGCGTGAGATAAATAAGTAACAATATAAACTGCGAGTCATGCAAAGTATCCGTATTCAGTACCTAACTGTCTGGACAGCCTCTGCCTGTTGGCTAAGATCTGATCGGCGCAGCTGTTTCAGAATGATGTAACTGGCTATAAATTGGAAAATGCGGTGTTTTATTGATCATTTGCTTTCCCTGCTGCACCTACAAGATCTGTAATATCTCAAAGAGTCGACATGTGTCATTTTGTGTCATCACTGTATTTTATCATTTGCAGTTTTGAGCAGATGGAGATCACAGTGGATAAGAATATATTAAAGAGCTTTCTTGACTTGATAAACAGAGCGTTATTTTATGCTTTATTATGCTGTGTGCATCATGCATCACTTGATTCTATCAGCAGATCTGTTTTTAATCTAACGATCTGAAACAACTGCAGTGAGAGCTGCAGGAGCAGATGGCAGGTGTGGTGCAGTCTATGTACCATTAATTACTCAGAGGTAATTCAGGGCTTGTCAAAAAATGTTTCTTCAGGTAATAACGGGTAATCTTGTTTGTTTCTGTGAATTATTTTGATGAATAATTACTTTTCCATTACAAAACAGCTTTAAAGACAGCTTGTTATTAACCTGCAGTTAAATACACTTACAGATGTCATTAGAAGTTTGTATGCACTTATTTCTAATGCCACTAACAAGAAGTTAATAGGTCTCGGCCTTGCCAAGATAAAAGACGCAGAACCTTCAGCACCACCTATTAACAGATTTAAGGGAGTTTGTGTATATATTTAAGTTTGTATGTAAACTTTTGAACATATAAATTAGAGAAAATACGAGTGTGACTGTTCCTCTCCTTCCCATCACAGCAGCTGCACCATGAGCTGCAAAGTCAATAAACTGACAACTAAAGTATGTAGAATAGCATTTTTAAATGCACAACATGTCAAACCTTGAAGCAGATGGGTCACGGCAGCAGAAGACCACACCGAGTGCCACTCCTACCAGGTAAAAACAGTTAACTGAGACAGTTCACATGGGCTCACCAAAACTGCACAATAGAAGATTAGAAAAATGGTGCCTGGTCCATTGAGACTCCATTTCCACTGCGATATTCAGATGGTGTAAATAGTATGAATCCTTATTGCCTTGATCAGTGGTTCAGGCTGTTGATGGTGGTGTAACCATGTGAGGGATATTTTCTTACCACACATTGGGAAACTTAGCTACAGCTGAGCATTGCTTAATCCCACAGCCTGCTTGAGTATAGTTGCTGACCATGTCCATGTACCGATTTTTTGACGGCTGCTTCCAGGAGGATAACACGCCAATATGGACCACAATCACTGAGGAATGTTTCCTGCACCTTGTTGACCTCATGGCACGAAGATTTAAGGGTCTTTTAATGTCATCTGACATCATTTACTGTGTATATTTTTTACTTTAGTTTTTACCTCATTAAGATATTTGTCTTGTCATGTTGCATAGGAATTTCCTAAATGTGAGACAAAGTATATGTTGTTTTATTTTAATTATCTACACATCCCTTGATTACTTAGAAATATATCTAAAAGTAATGACTGAATAAAAATGCAGACCTAAACAAATGTTTATTTAATGTGTGCAAATGTGTCTTGCTGAGCTGGTTATTCCTTTGCAGGTGGAGAGAACTGATGGCGAGACCAGGAAGCAGTACATCACTGAAAGGAAGTTCCCAGCGAGGAGCACCGGGTATTGGTCCGCACACGCCGAGCTTTTCCGCCGCCTTTGGGCAGCGATACATCCCTTGGTGTGTGTGATGTGCACCCGCTCTTTCTGAAATCCGCCGTCCTCAGCTCAAGGACTGTGCCGAAACTGGTATGTAGACACAGCTTTTCCCCTAAACTGCGAGCTGGCAGTGAAAGAGTTGTGTTTAAGCACACGTCCTACCGGTGCAGGCTTTGTCCCAGAAAATGTGTGCATGCTAACCGATTCTGGCTAATGTTATGAGGCTTTGCTCGATGACCGGTTACTCTTGCAAAATAATGATACAATGATCTGACAGTACACTGTGCCGCAGCTCTAAAATCTGATTTTGCATTTAATGCTCTAATATTGTGGCAGACTGCAGCGGCCGAAGAGCAGGAGCAGCACTAGAAAACTGGACCTTAGCATTAGCTCTGCCGCTAGTGAAAAGAGACATTAACGTCAAACAGCGCTGCTCGCTATGAGGGAGCTAGGCTAACATGACGTTAGCTGTTCTGTTGTTGAATGTAGCACACAATAATGTCTTCATTTACTCTACCTGTTTTCATGTGTTTATGAAATGTGCACTGAGGTGAGCTCGCTTAAAATTAAAGACCTTTGTGCATTTGTGCATGCAATTTCAGTTAGTTGTTTGTCGCTATAAAAGCGTTCAGGCCCAAATAAGTAATGCATTAAAACGCGAGGCATTAGTATGACTATTATACAATAGAAACTGAGCACAGCTACACCAGCAGGCAGTGTTGTCACCGCCCTAACGTCAATTACACAGCTTTGTAAAACCTTCAGTTTATAAAAGCTCCTTTTAGGGTCTCCACAACACAAAAAACCAAAGCACTGAGACCCAGTTTAAATCCTGTTCACCAATAATCACTGTAAATAATCAGGGGTTTGTACTGTAGGGTAAAAAAACGGTAATGGTACCCACTAATGAGATTTTTCCAGATTGAAAATAACCTGAAGCATGTTTAAAATTTGTTTTTTTTGTTGTTTTTTTAAAGTCATGTATTCAAAGCAAAAATAAATAAATAAAAATCTAAACAAACTGGCCAAACATTGTGCGCCATGAAGTGAAAGTGATGCCATTAGGGCTGCAGCTATTGATTACTTTCAGAATGGAGTAGTATATCGATTATTCCATCAATTAATCAAGTAATCGAATAAGAAATACTTTTGTATTATTAATGAGAAATAATAAATATCAAAAAGATAAAAAAAAAAAATTCACGTCTTACCTTTACTCTGTCTTCTTAGAAGGCTTTCTAAAATTAATCGGAGGCAAGTTTTAATGCAGCTGAAAAAAGACATGATGTTGCAGATGTTAATTCATATTAATAATAATTCTGTGTCTGACCTAACAACCCAGTGGCTCAGAGTTTAATGGCCCTTTTACATTTTAATTGGCTTGTGAAGAAAGCTTTTATTTTTAAACATTAATGCAATTTAATGAATAAAATATTTTATATTATTTCACTTTTAGTCTGAAAAATGTTATGAAAGCCTTGGAATAAGTATGGTCTCGTGCACCCCATACCCCCCTTTAGACTCACCCCTGTTTGCTGCAGGTATTGTTTCCATGTTAAAAAAAAAAAAGGAAAAAAAAGCTGTATAATTTAACCAGTCTTGTATCAGACTAACTAAGTCACTAAGTTAACAGTTTATCTGCATATTTTAATACTTCTGGAGATTTATTGTAGAAATAAGCGGCGGTGGATGGATAAGCTACAAAGTTTGCTTTTCTTCACGTCCGGTGTCAAATGACTAATCACATACTGTATAATATTTAGGTACCTGTGTTTATGCGCCAGTGGCTGGTTCAAATTATGGCATCGGCCCCTTATTGTGGCACCCTCAGATGCAATGAAATGCCATGCAATTTGAGGGCTGGATCAAATTGTGGCATCAGCCTCTAACTGTGGCACCCATGGTGGAGGCTTACCATGTCATTTAGGGGTGATGCCATGGCTGCTTAGACTAATACCTCAATCTGTTGCGGCGTTTGGGGTGATGCTGTAGCATATGGAGATGATTCCGTGGCATTTTGGGGTGGTGCCGCACACTGCCAAGGCATTTGGAGAGGATAAGTCAGAATTGTTTAAAACCAAACCAGATGAAGTCATTTGTCTGAACTATGTTATTTTCTTTGATTCGTGATTTGGGTGTTTTCTTAGCTTTTTGTTTGATTGGTGTTAAATTGAAGTATTGAGCTAGTTTGTTGATCAGGTCCTTACGAAAGAGGATTAGGGCCACTGGGGGGGGGAAAAAGTGGGCACGTCTTTTTTTTTTTTTTCTTCTTTTTCTTCTTTTCCTGAATTCGGTGAAAAAAGTCAGAATTCTGACTTTAATCTCAGAATTCTGACTTTTCTGACTCATTCCAAACCATGGCCAACCTAAAAACATTTCCAGACAACCACTATACATTGTGACATTCCAGTATTTCAAAAAAGCCACAGTAAAGACATTATTAAAAAAAACACACACCCACAACCACACAGCTGTGGCAGCTCAGCTGTTTGGACGAGGTATGTAATGGCACCGTCTCAAAAAGCCGGGATAGGTCGTGGCATCACCCTTAAACGCTGTGGCATAACCCCAAGATGCCATGTCAAATGGTAGCATCTGAGTATACCACCAGTTTATAATCAATTTCTAATCTAAATTCAAGGAAATCCGTTTGAATACACAAAGTCTCTTCTTATTAAGTTTAAGAAATCTAGCTACTTAACATGTTGAGTAATCGATTATCAGTTCTACTAAAAGCAGCCCCACTCCAGCTAGTAAAGCCCTCATCAGGGGTCATTTATTTTATGCTCAGCTTGTTTATTCTTGTAGAACCGAGTGCTGACCAGCTGTATGCCAAATGCAGATTTTGCAGTTTTTTTGGTGCAGACTCAGGCACCGGATGCTCAGATTGCACACCTGAATCGAATTTCTCCCAGTAACCCGTTTTCCATGCATTTGCTGCAGCGATTCTTATCGTTACTTTTTTAATAGGCATAATCAGAAAAAGTAATCACAGGTAAAGATCAAATGCCTGTTTCGACAGTTTATCATGAAATACTTTGGGAACACCATTTTTGTTTGTTTTTTTTCTTTCAATAATTAGATCATCCAAGGATCTGTACCTAAGTGGGCCACCATCAGTGATATCTGTGTTTCTTATTTCATCTCAAAGTGGCTGATGGGAGATACGTGTGTTGTTTGCTGAAGCAGTAACTTTAATGTTTTTCTGTTGTAGGTCCACAATGTCCGAACTTTTTATGGAGTGTGTAGAGGAGGAGCTGGAGCCGTGGCAGAAACAAGTTCCTGAAGTTCACTTGATAGAAGATGATGACGATGAGCCCATCTTTGTTGGAGTGCTCTGTATGTTACACCACATTTTTAGAAATATAAAAACGTCTTATTTTATTGTTTAAACTTTAATGGCACCAATGAATGTATGATAATACAAAAACAGACTGGATTCCTCCACCAAAGCTGAAATTTACCTGGAGAGCTTCCCTGTGCCCAGATCCAGATTAGTTTGTTAAATATTCGGGAACATCCGCACAGTATCGCCCAGTTCTTAATATGCACTTGTAAATATAGGATAACTAAATGTCCACTTTTAACCATTTGGAGACAGGATAAAAGTCCTTTCAAAGAAATTTCTGGCACCAGATCAAATATTGTCTCTGACATGTAGAGCTGTTTGTCCTGCTAGATTGTTTTAGTTTACTCTATAGTACTCATTTATGCCATCAGGCATACAAGATTCATAGTTTTTTTTAAATAATTGGGTCGTGTGACAATGTCTGTAAATTTTTGCCTCAGTACGCCACCCTGTACACCATCTAGTGAAGTTATGAGGAAGTAAATGTGTCATTGACAAAGCCTACAATGGGAAAAAAAGCTGTCACGAATAGATGCAGTTCTTTGACTCGTGATCTGAAGCATATCACATCATCTGTCAAACATGATGGTGGTAATGTTATGGCTGCCACGTATGACTGCCAGTAGAACTGAGTCGATGGGGTTTGTTGATGATGTTACTGCAGATTGAAGTAGCAGGATAAATTGTTGAACTGTGTACTCTCTGCTCAGATTCACCCACATACTGCGGAACTGATTGGATAGTGCATTATAAACTGTAGGCAGAGAAACCCACAAACTGCAAGTTGTACCAAACACAGTTCGGACATATAAATGTCCCTATATTGTCCCAGCATCCAGAGGAGAAATAGTGTACATTTAATTTTCTGTAACTCGCTATTTTTAGTCAATTGCAGCTCATTACAGAAGTTGTTTTTCTAGGGTTTTTACTTGTTGTCCAGCAAGTTGCACATATTGCCTGCTAAAATTCTAAGTTTTCAATGCTTTGACTTTGTTTCTGGTTGTTGTTGTTGAATTGCCTATTTTTGCCCCCCTTAATGTTCTCACAGCGAATAACCAGAAGGATGGAAAGCCTTCTAACCCTCCGACTCCTCAAAGGAAAAGTGCAGCGAAACAAGAAGTAAAGTGCCCCCCTCCTCAGCCTGCTGTGGTCCCCTCACCAATAGTGCTGCCATTGAATATACCTGGGAAAACAAAGAGTATTGTACCAACCAGTCTGACAACAGTAACTCCACAGCCTGTTATTGTCAATAATCAGGTATTTTTGCATTTAAGTGTTTCTAAATACCAAAAAACTAAATGATAAGAGCAGGCAGAAGGAACAGAAGCTGATAAGGGTGATTTTTGTTTGTTTTTTCAGGGCTTTATTGTCACTTCTCCACAGTTAACAAATAGCAGTGACTTTATTGCCTCTTTTGGGGCCGCGTATCCCCCAAGACCATCAATTACAATCATTCCAGGTAAATCTCAGTTTAATATAGTAATCCTTTTGTGAGTAAATCTTCATTGCACTATATTTTGTTTGTTTATTTTCTTTAGTTTGAGTCTTGCAATGCCAAGTGCGTATCCTGTTGCTTACAGCTGGTCAGCAGCAGATTTTTCAGCAGGTCTCTCCAGCCACAGTCATACCTGGCGCTGTCCACAGGCCACAGGTGCAACAAATTAGCAACAATGTTGTGACACTGTCAAATGTCCAGAGTCCTGCTGTATACTCAACACAGCCTAGTCAGCTTCAACCAAACAGATCCACCTCACAACCTCTTCAGACCTTTTCTATGTCTGCAAAGGACACCAATAGCAGAGGTAACGCTCTAAAAGTTAGCTATTTTGCTTTTCCTGATTTTTTTTTTTTTTTTTTTTCTGCCACGTGTACATGTTTTGTAGTGGTGGTTCCTCATATTAAACACAGCCAAAGTTTCAGATAATGAGGTCCGTATTTGTGCAAATAGTCTTTATTAGTCAAAAGCTCTAGCTCACACCTTAATGAAGAGCAGTGAAATAGAAAAAAGTCAACTTTAAGGGGGGAGGAGATTAAAATGTATTGGTTCAGAAAGCGCAGGAATTGTTGGATTATTTTGATCTATGAATCATGTGAAGCTACTCTTGTAGAACTTAGAACATATAACTTTTATTGTCAGTATACAGTTGCTTGCCCAGTGAAATTAAGTAGCAAGACCACAAAGATGAAAAAGTAAAGAAAACAATATACCTCTTCACAACCTCTTGCTGTGTATACCTCTAGTGTATGTATATTGTAGAGTCTAGGGATAAAAATGTGGAACTGTGACAAAAAACAACAACTGTGTTTTTAGCCTCAGGCAGCTCAATTATCTCAATTGTCAATTGTTTTACATTTCGGTACAGATCAGAGCTTACTGAAACGAGGACTGGCACCACAGGAAATGGACAACGTAGCAAAAAAATCAAAGCCTGACTTGTGTAAGTTTTATTGACATTTTTTTTTTTTAAACTCAAAAAGATTCTAATCCAAGTTCCTGCTGTATTTTATTAAGTTTAACCTTCAGTTCCTTTTCTGTAGCACCACAAAAAGTAGTCATCAGAGTGGAAAATGGCATGGTAAAGAGAAAGTGTCCCAATTGTCAAGAAGAAATTCTCACAGAGGAAGCTCTAAAATATCACATGATGGTGAGTAAAACTCTGGTAAGAATATGTTATTGTCAAATGGGATTATATGAAATAATTATATAAAATAATGTTTTTAAAAGCCCGTCAGTTTTAGCAAACAATCATTCGTGTGTTGGTTTCCATGAAACATTAATATGTTTAATCCGTTTATGTCAGAACTGCCGTGCCAACGGAGGAAGCACAGCTCCAGCGGCCCTGAACACGAACTCAAACAAGCGCATCATGCTGGTCGCAGATTTCTATTACGGTAACTTTGAGGGAGACGTGCAAAAGAAGGAGGCACAGAAGACCAACACCACCTTTAAGTGCCAGAGCTGCTTAAAAGTTCTCAAGAATAATATCAGGTAGGAAAATTTGCTTTCATTCTTAAGTAGATAGCCATAATTTTTCTTTATGAATTGTCATTTTTCCCACAAAGAGTGCAGACTTCTTGCTGATTTCAGCATTTTGCCTTTGTAAGTTTGAATTATTTACATTATTTTATTGGTTCCTATTGGCTGGCACCACATGTAAAACAACAGGACGCAAATACACAGTAATTAAAGCATAATGAATGGTGCACATCCATAAATGTCAGCAATGACTTCGGCCACTTGCGCAAGTTACATGAAAAGCTCTACAAAGATTCCCCAAAAGTCTAAATCAGACCTTACTCCTTGATTGGTACATATGCCACTATATTAATATGCATAATATCCTCCTGAGAACTGAGGAAATTGATTTTATGATTTCCTGCCTCTTTGGAGCTTAAAGAAGCCACCCAAACATATGAGATATCATTGGAAGGGCCAGCATGTCCTCTGTGAGCACATCGGCACCTAGTAAGGGTAGCTCAAACAAGTCATAAGATATAGAAAGAAAACAAATGTCCAAAATAGAGGAAAAAATGAATAGGCTGGGTCTCAGGAGGATATAATGTACTATACATTTACAAATATTGGTTTGTTTTTATGTGTGTTTCCTTGTCACTAAATAGAAATTAACCAGCATATATTTGCTCCAAATATCCATTAGATTGGGTCGTCGTGTTATTGTTTTATAGTAGTAATTGGGCTTCCTGCTTTAAGGAAGTCTGAGCAGCTCGGCTTACAGGTGGCTGCTCACCTCATAACCAGGCTAATCGCTTTCTGCTGGGGAACATCTGATTGTATTACAGTAATAAATAGGCAGGTTGGTCTAGTAGTAATTATTCAACTTTAGTATTCTGTTTTGCTCAGTAATAGGAAGGCATACGGATACTGATCTAAACTCCAATGGTATTGTTAATTTGTGGGAATTATATTTTGAAATCAACATTCCCTTCATGAAGGGGAGTAAAGGCAAAACCATCTGCCTTTTCCAACTCTAACATGGATTTGAATAAAGTATTAGTGAATATTTATGGTGTTTATAGACAGTGCTGTAGTGTTTGGCTTGTTTTGTCTACACACATAATGTTCAAAAACCAAACTGAGTTTTCAAGGACTTTGTGTCCAGTGCCAATAAAACAAAAGAGAGGATGGGGAGGGAGGTTATCTGCCTCTGCCCTAACTGCAGCTTTTGTCTCAGATGGATGACAGTATCTGACCATTTTCCCTCATGGGCGTAGAGATGAAAAATGACTGCTAGTTTAGGTGGCGTAAGAAGTGCTCCTTTGATTAAATAACTTTGCTTCAGAACAGTGGGGCAAAAAAAGCTTCTGTAAGCTGCTTTTAATGGGAGAACACATTTGTACTGCAACCACACTCTCACAGCGGAGGTCAGAGATCAGCCACATAAAAATTTCTATTAGGGGAGCTGAGGTAGCAGAATGTGCAGGCTGAAAAATGGGCCATGCCTCGTCAGGGCAGCAGTGGCAGGTAGCTGAGGAGGTGCTCAGTGCAGCCGTGGGGCACTGTATCATTAAGCAAAACAAAAATCTTTGTGTAATTGCTGATATTATAGCAGCCATTATACATGCTTAGAAAGTGAAGCGCGAGCAGAGCGCTTCATTCATCTTAAAAACCTTTGGGACCTGGATCCGGTGCATGTACACAAGCCATGAATATTTAATTTTTCCCCCACAAAGCTAAAGTTGATGCTGTTTTAGTGCACCTATTTTCTCTTTAAAGATAAATCGTGATCAAATTTGTTCAAGTCTGCACTTGTGTATTTATTTATTCAACCTTGAGCTGTTTGTACTGACCAAACGCAAACATTGTTATGATGAATGAATGGAAGGGCTGTGTGGAAAATACACTTAAATGTAAAGTAATAGCTCACCTAATAGTTTCTGGCTTATAAATTAATTCTTTAATGTAGCAGCTTTGAAAATGTAGGGCTTAGACAACCAGCAGTATAGAGATGTGGAGTAAGTTCAGTTAGCATGCACTGTAGCTGATCTCAACAGGTTTAAGCTGATCTTTAACTATTCAACAAATATATAAGTGGCCTGCCAAAATTTTCAATCAGTAGTACCAACACTAATATCTTGAAAATATATTTTTGTTATGGGTTAAATTTAACCAATTTAAATACATTTAAAACAGGGTTAATACTGAGCAAAAACTGAACTGTAAAGTCAGAACACCTGTTCATCATATAAAGTATATTTGTGAACAATTATAGAAACTCTTCCTTTCGTTTATAACCTGAAATGAACTTTTTTTAAATTAATTAAAAAAAAATGTTACTCTTAGTTTACTCACTCCACCTTTTGTTTCTTAGGATTCAGGATTCAATATTACAGGTGCAACAAATATAATAAGACATGAATGGGGGGGAAAAAAGTTTGACTAATGTTTTCATATAATTTAAAGTATGAAAAGCAATTATTAAGATTAATTTTGCATTCCAGCAGCAGGTGGTCTGGGCTAGAATGAATAAATACGGGTAAATGCATCCATTTCATACTTTCTAAGGTTTCAATCACACATGGCTAGAGACCAGTTGGCAACCTCCAGTAACTTGGTAACAACTGGATGATGAGTGGTTGCTGGCTGTTGCTAGGGGATATCAGTTGTAATGATATGATGCTACACTGAAAGCCTCATTGTGATTTCTTTGGTAATGAGCAGATTAACAAAAGTCGCAAAAGTCATGTCTGCAAACACTCAGCAACTACTCACTGATCTGTAACAAAGATGAAAACACGATGAAAACCAGAAACGGCCGTTTGCCTTATGAGCACAGTTGTGCCTCGACGCTAAAACCAAAAGGTTTCAAAACTTTTTCGATGAAGGCGATTGCTCTTTCTAGCCTGCTTCATGCTTTTCACAGGTTCAGTTCCACTCTGCAAATAATTAGTGTTTGCAGACAAGCTAGCATCTTTTATGGGCAAGCGATGCTAGCAACCAAAGCAATCACTAAGAATACATCTTTGTGACCAACTATTTGCGAACCAGTTGGGAACACCGATTTTTCTTAGCAACCTGTTCTGAGTGGTCTCTAGGTCTTTACTGAGGCCTGAATCGTCAGTTCAAATAAACGTCAGCAGTCTGTTCTTGATAACAGTTAAAAGCTGGCTAATTGTTCAAAGGCTGCCACATGCTAACGAGTTGGTTGACATTTCCGTGCTCTGTGTGTTTCCATTCTTCGCTGCAGGTTCATGAACCATATGAAACACCACTTGGAGCTGGAAAAGCAGAACAGCGAGAGCTGGGAAAGCCACACAACCTGCCACCACTGCTACCGACAGTACATGACCCCGTTCCAGCTGCAGTGCCACATTGAGAGTGCTCACAGCCCAATTGAATCCTCAAGTATAACACGATGATTCATGAAGCTCATTCTGGCTTTTTGGTTAGAAATTTATTTTCCATATCTGATTTTATTCTATTTTTTTCCCTTTTAGCCAATTGCAAGATATGTGAGCTGGCGTTTGAATCAGAGCAGGTGCTTCTGGAGCACATGAAGGGAAACCACAAACCTGGGGAAATGCCTTATGTGTGCCAGGTCTGCATTCGTCTTAGGGTTACAGTTTCTTTTAATGTGTGCAGAGAATCGGTGGCCAGTACTGAATTTGTGGTTTTACTGCTTCCACAGGTTTGCAATTACAGGTCTTCCTTCTTCTCTGATTTGGAGACACATTTCAGGAGCGTCCACGAAAACACAAAAGACCTGCTGTGTCCCTTCTGTCTCAAAGTTCTTAGAACTAGTCATATATACATGCAGCACTACATGAAACATCAGGTATGAAGCTAAGTTCACCCTCGGTTTGAGCGCCTTTCAGAAACAGATGTCAGTTTTAACTGCCGCAGTGCAAAATACAGTTTAGTGAATTCAGATTTTCTCCAGGAAATTTTAAACATTTACAGGCTTGGAGTTGTTTTTGGTTCCTGCCATTACCTCCAAGTTTGAATTGATTTAGGTGTCTGCCGAGCACACAAGTGTAATACATAAAAGCTTCCACAATAAAACCTGCTTCTCTTGCCCTACAAAGCAATAAATTTGGTTGAATTAGAACCAAAAAAAATTAATTGCCACTCTATTAATAGAAGTGAAATTAGTCTGTTTCGTACTTGTTAGACTCTTTCAGCGAATCCAAATGAAACATATCAGCTATTAGCCTCCCATAGAACCACTTATTAATCACATTTTTTTGTGTTTCTGCCCCCCCCATTTCAGAAAAAAAAGATCCATCGCTGTGGAAAATGTAGACTGAATTTTCTCACCTACAAGGAGAAAGTGGAGCACAGGACTCATGTCCACAAGACTTTTAGGAAGCCTAAAGCCCTGGAGGGCCTTCCTCCTGGTACAAAGGTCTGAGGCAGTCATAATAAGATCTGTGCTATTATGTTAAATGTTAAAGAAATATAAATTTGATCCAGTGTTGTGTTCTCACTGCAGGTGACCATTAGAGCTTCCCTCACAGGAAAGTCACCTGCACTGCCGGTGTCCCCTAAGCAACCTGGTTTTGTCGTCAGTACAGAAAGTCTGAGTGTGAATCATCCAATAAAACCTCATGTTACTGTATCTAAGTCTAAACCAACCACCTCAGAAACAGGAAAGGCAAAGATGCCTCAGAGCAAGAAGCAAAACCCTCAGTCCAAGCACAACCTGGCACTCAGGAATCTCAGGTTGGCAACTTTTTCACACAGAACTCAGGAGCAGACTCTAAAGATGTGCAGCATGTAAACATCAGTGAAGATCAATTTAGATTTCAGAGTGTTCTTTTTCAAAACTTCACTTGGTATGATAACATTAGAACTGCCACGAAGGTTCAGCCATTTCTTCATATCTGAAACTCGAGCTATTCAGGTCCTCTGGATTTCGCTCTTTATTTGCTTGGATTAGTTCACACTCTGGACTCTTGGCTCATTTCAGCTTCAGCTACGCTGCTTCGCACAGCCAACAGCCTGATCAATATCTCAGCAGTCCTTATTATAAAACTTTTCACAGACAAAGCTATCACAGACTTTCTTATTTCAGGATTTAATGTGACCCATGTCTACCTGTTGTAGCTGTGTGTTGTCACCAGGGGGCGGTGTCAGATGTGTAAAAAAAAAAACAAAACCATCTGCTAATGTTGGCTGTTGTTCCTCCTCTGCTTGTGGACTGCTATTCGTTTTCTTGTTAAAGACAGCTTTTTCCAACCAATCAGTTTTTGACATTTTCATGGCATCATTGCATCAATCGCTCTAGTTGTAGTTGTCTCTTGTTGGATTACTTGTTCCTGCGTTCCACTGTAGGTGGTGTAAATAAATACATTTGGACTCTTTTAAACTATTGTGAAGTCGCAAACGTTGAGCCCTTAATACAATTTGAGCTGATGCAAATTTATTAAGAAGTTAAATATCAAGACCCTTTAAAATGACTGTAGTCTTTAAATAAATTAAATGTTTACACTGCAGTCTTCACTAAAGTGCAGATCATTTATCTTAATGACACAATGGGTCTTTTGCATGTGGTTAAAATTGCACCACAACCACTAACATGGAGCCCCACCTCTTGGGTATCCAAGGCAGGGTGGGAGCAAATTAATGGAGGTTATTAAAGCCCCGCAGTACACAAAATAAATGACTGTATTTCCAATTAATTTTCTGGACACTCTTCATTAGGCTGAGTAAAAATAACATGGAGTATAGCAGGATTTCTGTCTTTAAAAAAAATTAATGTGTGTGTGTGATATTTGGCTAATTAGGCTCAGTAATCAACAGCGATTTGCTGGCTTCAGTCACATTATTTGGGCTTTTAAGCAGATCAGAAATAAGATGATGTAGTGGTACAACAAGTCGGACTGTACAATTAGAAAGCTACAGACCTCTCAGCAGACAATGCATCATACTAATGAGAAATTCAAATCATCATTAACAGTATCTTAAAGTGTTACATTTTGTGCTTTCAGTGCTAGTGGAGGGATTTACACATGCATCGAATGCAACGCACACGTGGACGACTTTTTCTCTCATTTCCCAATGGTTTCCAGTTGCGGCGCATGCAAATATCGCACAAGTTGCAAAGTTTCTATCGGGAATCATATGATAAGGTCAGCAAGACCCTGATTTCCATTGATATTTGAGTGACTTTTAGCATCTGCTGACTTTTTTTTATGACAAAACTTTCTTTCTTTTTAAAAAAAAAAAAAAATCAGATTTCACAGCACCATCACCAAGAACAGATTTTTGAAAATGGATCACAAGAAAAATTCATTGGCCTCAAAGTAAGAGTACTTCTCAAGTTATACTTTCACTTGGCAGTAAATCTGAGTTAAAATAGTAATAAAATTTCTTCTTCTGTTTTCAGGTTCACGTTGGTTTGTCTCAGCTGTGACCTTCTCGTCGATGCATCACGTGGCGACCTGATGACCAAACATTTAAACGATCGGCCGAATCACGTATGCAAAGTCATAGCTGAGAAAGGTTTGTGTTTGTCTTTCACTACCGCTGGAGTCATGGCCAGTGTTTAGTTTCACACGTTGCTTGAAAAAGTTGTTTCTTGTTTTTAACCCAGCAGATATGAAAGCCAAAGATCGTGTGTGAGTAGAAACCGCTCCCAACATTTACATGTTGTGATTTGTAGTGAATCTCTGAAACACACTGAAGACCTAAAGAAAATGCACTAAATACTTAAAGGGGCACTCTTTTCAATTTATAGTTTGCTTTCATGAAGTTGAACAACTTGCAACAGACTTTAACAGATTAAAATATAGTCAAAATAGAGACATAACAGAGATTGAGATATCTGTATATCATACACCTCGATTAACTCCAGCGTCTGCAAAGGTAGAATCTCTTATATTCTGTTATTCAGTCCTGTTATACTTTATACAAAACTGAAATAACCTCACAATTACATGAATCGTGGACAATAGTAACTGACTTGCTGTGGAGAATAATTCAGGGCTGAATATCTGTCTGTGTAGATGTTATCAAAGAGGTTAGGGGAAAAAGAGGTTTGTTAGAACTTTTTACCGTCATAAACGACATCAATTCATCCAGATTTGTGAATGTGATAACTTCAGAACAAAGTGATGTAGGATCTTCAAATTGATACCACAGGTGTAGTTACTAAAACTCTCAGACAACTTTGAATCTCTTTAAACTCATAGTTAGGGTCAGAGGTCAAATTTTCTGAAACTCTTGCAAATACGATGCGATAATCTGCTAGGAGGCAGAGGGATACCACTGGCCACCATCAGCATTTTTTATTGTGTCTGCAGTATTTGGCCTGCATGTGGTCATTTTATTTGAGACAATAACCTTCAGTAACCTTACAGTGTTATAACTGGTTACATTGCAGCTTATGTAATATCCCTCTCAACTAGTTGCATCAGATGGTTGAGTTTGGTTCATTCAGACGTTTCTTCCTGTCATCAAGTACTTCCTCAAAATAGGTCTTTTGACTGCTAAATTTTATAGTTAACATTTTAATATTTACACTGGACCTTAATTTGATACATTTTGTATTTACTGTCTTTTGCTTCTGAAGTTACATTGTGTGTGAAATGGAGTCTACACACACAATCCACGCTCTCTATAGTGAATGTTTGCAGGTGCATCTTTGAGGATGGAATTAGCAGAAAGATATACGATACAAATGCATTGGATTTTTTTGATTTTTGTGAGATAGATAAAATATGTGAAGTTTAAAATTTATAAATTACTTATTTGGAAGTGTGTGTAAGTAATTTTCAAATAATCAAAACTTGACACATGATACTCATTAAAACCAAAAACTACTGTTTGTGAGGACTGTATACATGACTCTGACTCTTTTCACAGCATTAGTCTTTTTTTCCCCAAACCTGAAAAAACTTGGTGGATGCAGCAATTTAAAAAAATAAAATAAAATCCTGCAATTTACACTTCTTCCACTAATGCACAAAGCTGCAAACATTGCAGCTTTATTTACAGCTCAGTCCAGAGCGGCTGTTTCATGGGACCGACAGGCGTTACTGAGGTCTTACAGTAGGCCAGGTCACTGATGAGGACAGTGTAGCAAATTAAGGCCTAAAACCGAACCAACATGCTCCGTCTTGTGATTTGTGACTAATAAACATGTGGACGTAGGAGTGCCCCTTTAAGATGACTTAGTAAAACATTAAGAGGCAAATTTATTATTAATAAGTGTGTCATATCTATAGATAATAGGGGTGCAACAATACTCGTATCGACATTGAACCGTTCAATACAGTGCTTTCGGTTCGGTACACATACAGTGGGGCAAAAAAGTATTTAGTCAGCCACCGATTGTGCAAGTTCCCCCACCTAAAATGATGACAGAGGTCAGTAATTTGCACCAGAGGTACACTTCAACTGTGAGAGACAGAATGTGAAAAAAAAATCCATGAATTCACATGGTAGGATTTGTAAAGAATTTATTCGTAAATTAGGGTGGAAAATAAGTATTTGGTCACCTCAAACAAGGAAAATCTCTGGCTCTCACAGACCTGTAACGTCTTCTGTAAGAAGCTTTTCTGTCCCCCACTCGTTACCTGTATGAATGGCACCTGTTTGAACTCATCATCTGTATAAAAGACACCTGTCCACAGCCTCAAACAGTCAGACTCCAAACTCCGCCATGGCCAAGACCAAAGAGCTTTCGAAGGACACCAGGAAAAGTATTGTAGACCTGCACCAGACTGGGAAGAGTGAATCTACAATAGGCAAGCAGCTTGGTGTGAAAAAATCAACTGTGGGAGCAATCATCAGAAAATGGAAGACATACAAGACCACTGATAATCTCCCTCGATCTGGGGCTCCACGCAAGATCTCATCCCGTGGGGTCAAAATGATCATGAGAACGGTGAGCAAAGATCCCAGAACCACACGGGGGGACCTGGTGAATGACCTGCAGAGAGCTGGGACCAAAGTAACAAAGGTCACCATCAGTAACACACTACAACGGCAGGGAATCAAATCCCGCAGTGCCAGACGTGTTCTGCTGCTGAAGCCAGTGCATGTCCAGGCCCGTCTGAAGTTTGCCAGAGAGCACATGGATGATACAGCAGAGGATTGGGAGAATGTCATGTGGTCAGATGAAACCAAAGTAGAACTTTTTGGTATAAACTCAACTCGTCGTGTTTGGAGGAAGAAGAATACTGAGTTGCATCCCAAGAACACCATACCTACTGTGAAGCATGGGGGTGGAAACATCATGCTATGGGACTGTTTTTCTGCCAAGGGGACAGGACGACTGATCCGTGTTAAGGACAGAATGAATGGGGCCATGTATCGTGAGATTTTGAGCCAAAACCTCCTTCCATCAGTGAGAACTTTGAAGATGAAACGAGGCTGGGTCTTCCAACATGACAATGATCCAAAACACACCGCCCGGGCAACAAAGGAGTGGCTCCGTAAGAAGCATTTGAAAGTCCTGGAGTGGCCTAGCCAGTCTCCAGACCTCAACCCCATAGAAAATCTGTGGCGGGAGTTGAAAGTCCGTGTTGCTCGGCGACAGCCCCAAAACATCACTGCTCTCGAGAAGATCTGCATGGAGGAATGGGCCAAAATACCAGCTACTGTGTGTGCAAACCTGGTAAAGACCTATAGTAAACGTTTGACCTCTGTTATTGCCAACAAAGGTTATGTTACAAAGTATTGAGTTGTATTTTTGTTATTGACCAAATACTTATTTTCCACCCTGATTTACGAATAAATTCTTTACAAATCCTACCATGTGGATTCATGGATTTTTTTTTCACATTCTGTCTCTCACAGTTGAAGTGTACCTCTGGTGCAAATTACTGACCTCTGTCATCATTTTAGGTGGGGGAACTTGCACAATCGGTGGCTGACTAAATACTTTTTTGCCCCACTGTATGTATCGAACAATACAAAATCTTTTATTTATTTTATCAACTTTTCTTCTGACGATGCTGTCTGTGTTGAGCGCTCAGTGGATCTGCGTTCGACTACTGAGCAAGCTAGCAAGACAGAAGCTAAGTTCGTTGCAACATGGCAAATTGAACCTCCCCCACCCTCATTCAGATCTGGCGTTTGGAACTATCTTGGTTTTCATGTGAAGCATGACCCTGATGGACAAAAGTCATGGACAAAAGTAAAACAGTGTGTCGGATGTGCCACGCAATCAGGGCTGGACTGGGACAAAAAAATACCTGACTTCTTACCTGAAGTTCAGTTCCTCTGCCACTATGACCGGCGGCCGCCTCGGGTCTCTCCTCCTCTTGCCTCCCCTTTCCCTTATCCACCTGCTGGCCTCCACCACTTGCTGATGTTGCTAAATCTGTGGAAGCTATGCCATAGCTACCGCCAAACAATTCAGTTATTTTTACACATTTGGCAGCGTCTGCCTGAAGGGCTTGTTTCTTTTTGGCCCTAATTTTTTTCTGCACCTCCTTTCCTTTTTTTGTTCTCCATTTTCTTTAGTTCGTCTATAAGATTGCTAAACAAGGGGGAGGGTGCATCCGACCTCCTCTGCTGTAATTGGTCCAGCCCAGAGTCGATCATGACCAATTGGCCGATCCAACACCTTTCATTATTTATACCCTTCCAAAAAAAAAAAAAATCGATCGGCCCATAAAAACAAAAAATCGCCAGCCCGATGGCCAGTCCAGCTATGCACGCAATGCTCAATTGGTGGGAACTAGTGCGTTAGCGCAGTTAGCTTGTTGACGCTGTCCAGCCTTGCGCATGGGGCGATCTGCGGTAACTTGTTAAGGGAGATTTGCCGCGTTATGGCGTTAATGTCATTTTAACGATATTAACGCTGACAGCACTAGTGGGAACACAACGAATATGACTGCACATTTACGCCAACATCATCTTAGTGCAAAGACAAGCGGAAGCAGACAAAAACAACAAGCACGCATGCTACAAACTTTACCCGAGTCATTTAGACAGCCGTTAGCACATGATTCTCCTTATGGGGACCTGATATGTTTAATACGCTGCTGAGAATAAACCCCAGAAGGAGCGTATAGTATAGCTTTTATTTTGGAAAGAGCCATTTCTCTGTAATAAACTCTCTTTGCCAAAGATGAGTGATTTCTTGATCAGATAGATTTTTATTATTATTTTGTTGTTTCAGCAACATTAAATTTAAAAACTGTACTTTTGAGTTAAAATATATATTTATAATTGTAATAAATGACAAATTAAAAAGGCATGAACATTTTTTGTATCGAACCGAACCGTGAATTTTGTGTATCGTTGCACCCCTAATATATAACTGTTCATGAGTAGGTTCATATTTTTTTAAATTGTTGGTAGAAAATGCATGTTAGCTGAACGTCAATCTGAAGTACGTCGTTATAATGCCGTCTTCTTCCCTTCACACAGGCAGCTCATCGTGGGGCAGCCAGCCAAAGTCCAAGTGTACGTCTTGACAGCCTCACCTGCTCAAAAACCAAAGGAAACGGACCCAAAACAAGCTGAATGTGTCTCATCTGGAGGTGCAGCCATCGGCACTGTTGACAAACCAGAATTAGAGTCGCCGTTACCAGCAGGAGATCAGAAGGAGATTTCCACAGGAACAAGTGTTATCCAGGCTTCCTCTGAAGATGACTCAAAGACGTCGGTGCTGCCCGCTTTACCGTCTTCCAGCACACCTGACCTCTGTGACGAGATCTCAGAGAGCAGAGATGAGGAAGATCAGTGTCCCGACTCTGTGTCTGCGGCAGAGAGTGCGACTGTGGACCAGCAGCCTCAGTCAGATTAAACCTGTACAGACTAACTAAACAATGACTTCCCGTTATTCAGAAAACACCTCACCAGTGTACTAGATGTAAAACGTCTTTATATTTGTGAATAAAAAAAAAAAAAAGTAGATCCAGTAAAGTTTTATTTACCCTGCAAAGTTGATCAGGAGTATTCCCACTAAATATTTTTGATTCTTTTGTAAGATCCTCCGAAACACACAAAGTGTCTGGCGCCCTGCCGGCCTAAAGAGGGCAGTGATTGTCAAAAAATGTTGACACATAAATTTGTCAAGACCACCAGATTTCCTTAAAAAGAAATCCCACTTCCCGGCACAGAATGCTCAAATTACTTATACCTAAATTCTGCATGTAGTCCTCCTAAAAATTTGCCTGCAAAAATATTGTAATTACTGAATGTTTAAGCAGCTTGGGCCCATCCATAGGTTTTCCTGGTGTTTTGTATTAATTAGGATAGGAGGAAGAGGATCAAGGAAGTGAGAGGCAGTCAAAGTGTTTTGGGTTTTTAATGTGTGGTTGCTACTATTGTGTATGTGCTTTTTATTTCCTTTCATTTTTTATTTGTAACGAACCTCAAAGCTGCTCCCTTTATATAGAGTCAGGTTGCTGTGCAGCAAGTGTAAAAATGTTAAAGTGATGTAGCACATATTTACCTTGATCACCTGCTGGTTTTAAGTAAGTTTATCAACACTAAGACATCTGATTTAAACCATTAGGAAAATATGTGGAATGTTTTTTTTGGGGGGGGGTTCCCTCCCCACATGGAAAGTGATCTCAGCTCTGAAAGGTTTGCGTTTTAAAGGTGAACATAACCTGAATATTTTAGCATTGAGTGAAAGATTAGGTAGATTTCACTGTGTTAACAGAGTTGACAGATCCAGCTTATAAAATAAATACCTTTTGGATTAGGTACTAGATGGGTTTTGATTTACAATTACTGAGGGGGGGGGATCTGGAAATATTTTTTACAATACTGTGTGTTTGTTTTACTTGGCTTGAAATGTCAGAAGGTTTGTTTAAAAAACAAAAAAACAAAAAAAAGATCTTTCACTTGTACAGTACAGCAAGTTTGTAAATGCATCTATGTCTATTAAGGCGCTATAAATGTACCCCCATCCAACCTGTTTTTAATACATTCTTATAAAACTATGGTTCCCCTTAGAACACATTTTCCTCTGATCAACATTCTTGGCTTAGATCCAAGTGTTCCTCTTCTTTGTTATGTAAATAAATCTTTAATACAAGCCAGTTTGAGTGTGATTTGTTTGTTGGCCACATACACCTCTTTTAATCAAGGAAATATTTTGATCTTGAAGCTAGTGGTGAGATTTCTTTAGGAGGAAAACTAAAAAGCCATACTTGGAAAAAACATTTGTAGTCACTTTGGTCAGACTTGTTACTATGAGCAGGGCTGGACTGAGACAAAAAATTGGCCCTGGCATTTATGGTTCTCATCTCTTCCTCACTTCTCTACAGCTAGTGCTTGCAGCAGCAGCCCCCTGTGGTAATGAGACCTCGCTACTAGTTGTTGTTGGTACTACTGTTCACAGAGTTCCGAGACCTAATCAAAAATTAATGAAACTAAATAAAAATATTAGAAGCTAAAATGGAAAAAGCAATGCATCTCCTAAAGCTAACCTCAGCTGAAAACAACTGAAAACTAAAACTCTAAACTGATAGCAAAAGTATTCCTATATCAAATATTAACGTGGAATCTATTGTTATTTTCTTCTGACAATTTATTAGACACATTGTTAACACTGTGATAAACATTCACCTGCCTTCAGAAGTGCGTCAGTTATTCATGGCGTGTATCCTAGAAACAATCCTCCATCCTGAAACCGGTTTGAGTTTCCCGGGCCTGACGTCACTGCCAACGCTCACTCATTGGCCCAGTTTAGGAAGACCAAGCGTTCCCAGGACAACAAAACGCTAAACAACTGACCGAGGTAACCTGCGGCAGCTACTGACCCGCTCAGAAACACCGAGGATTAACATTCGCTTCAGTACATTCGAAGTTTTCTGCGTTAAAGAAAGTTAAAGGCTTGAGTTGAGAAAGCGGGAATCCAGGAGAAGAACCTCAAACATGGTAAATCCTAGAAGCGAATTTAACGTTAGCTTGGCTGCTAGTTCACGACCTCAAAGTTAACATAACGCCGGTTTCTGGTCACGTGTTTTCTCCTCCCGTGTTATTGTTGTGGACACAGAGTGGTAACAGGATGTACAGCCACCAGCAGAGGTTAATGGCTCAGCGGCGGGTCCAGGAGCAGCACCGGCAGCAGGAGGCCCAGCGGGTGGACAGAGAGCGGCAGGTCCAGGCCAGCCTGAGGGAGGAGGAGGGCTTCGAGAGGAGGAGGTACCTGCGACAGGTGCAGCAGGAGCTCAAGGAGAAGCAGATAGAGAGCGCACTGCTCAAGGTTTGTGTGTCTGTTTCGGGGGTGACAATTGACATTTAAGCACGCTCTATTCGGTTTTATTTTTCTGAATATATTGGTTTTCACTTTTACAGGTGAGAGATGGATCCATTCTGAAATCTGGTGAAATTTTTAATCAGAAAAATCCTTTCAGCATAATAGCAAATACTTCAAATGAAAAACTAAATAAAATTCTTCTGGAATTAATTAAAATGCATGTAAAGTATCCAAATGAAACTAAATAAAGCAGTAGTTGTTTTTCCTTGCAGCATAAATAAAGTAATGGAATACATCTAGTATAAAGGCATAGAATAAGAGATTTTGAGACCATCTCCATTTACATATATAATCTTCTTCTTTCACTGTTCCCATCACCACAGTGGATCAACTCCTATCTCACCATAGCACCAACCCTCCGTCCTTAATTATAGCCATGAATTCCCCCTAAGATCTTCCTCTTTTCCTCCTTCTTAGCAGCTCCATCTTCAACATCCTTTGTCCAGTATATCCAATGTCCCTCCGCTGCACCTGTCCAGACCATCTCAGCCTCACCTATTGGAATTTGTCTCCAATTTCAGATCTAATATATTTTCCATTTCTGATTTTACATCAGACCAGTATCTTTGCAGCTAAACTCTTTACAGTCCAAAATAAGACATGCTTTTTAAAGTATTGACCAAGTCTTGATCGGATTAAGATGTGAGGAGTTTACTGTCCATGGATCCAAAATGTTAATTCAACTAAAAATGTTAATTTTAATGCCTTGTGACTTGATACTTCGCCATACTGGAAAATTCAAAGGTTGTTCCCAGATTTCTGCTTGATTACTAGAAGAACTTGTTCTTTGAGTTTGTTTTTAGTATAGTTAATCCTTAAAAAGCCAATACTGACAGTGCTGACAGGAACAGTGCCTATTGGGCACAGACTCAAGCCCCTAGAGCATCAGGCGGCACTTTGTCTTATCCTTGAGTTAAAATTATATGATATTTACCCCCTAAGAACAAAAAAAGAACAAAAGATCACAGAGAGACAGCAGCACATGTTTGTGGCCAGGAGTTATTTTGTTTCATAATCAATAACTGACTACAGATTTTAGATCCAAACTTTGAAAAAATATCCCTCTGACACTTTTCTCTTATCTGAGCTTTAAATGTGATAAATAAATGTGATTCGCAGGCAGAGGAGGATCGAGTTAACCGGGAAAAGCAGCTTGAACAGGAAGAGAGAATGGCCAGGGAGCTGGCCCGCATCAACCACGATAAGCAGAAAGAGGAGAAAATGAGGCAGTATATCAAAGAGAACAGGTACACACACACACTGACCTCGTTACCCTGACTTACTGGAGGCTCTGGGTCAGAAAACAAACACATTTGACATTTGTCACTTTCTGCCTGTTAAATATTTTCTCTGTGTATTTTTCAGCACGGAGCTTCGAGAGCTGGAGTTGAAGCTGAAGTCTGCGTACCTGAACAAGGACAGAGCCGCACAGATTGCTGAGCAGGAGGCCATGAGGTTTGAGACAATGGTGAGTCCTGAGGGCAGACTTTCTTTGAATATAACAAATACTCTTGAAGTGTGGAAATTTTAACAGAAAACACCCAAAACTCTCCCCACCCAAAACTACTACTTTTGGGTAAGTACAAAGAATACAAAGGCTGCTCTGAAGTCTGTAGGTTGTATAAATATGATGTGTCTTTTAGCGGGAAGAGGCAGACTACGCTCGCAAGATGAGGAGCGACCGGGAGCGGGTAGCCGTTGAGCAGCAGAAGCTGCAGCAGAAGCGCCAGGAGGAGATGGTGCAGTATCAGAAAGAGCTGGAGCAGCAGCTCATGGAGAGGGAGCGCAGGAGACAGGAAGCGTATGAGGAATTCCTCAAAGAGAAGCTCATGGTGGACGAGATCGTCAGGAAGATTTACGAGGAGGATCAGACGTGAGTCGCTACTAATTCATAATCTCTTCATGGTTAGTTAAAAAAATACCTGCAAAAAACAATAGCAAGTGTCTCAGACAACAGCTTCCTTCTAAACGGGATGCAGAGGTAGCACAGGATGAGTGACTTTTTGAAATGTTTTCCTGAAAGGGAGCGGCAGCTGAAACTGGAGAAAGTCCGAGCCACTCAGCAGCATATCGAAGAGTTCAAGAGACAGCAGGCCGAGTGGAGGCGCATGGAGCGAGAAAGGATGGAGGCCGAGAACCGGCGCATCATGGAGTTCGCCATGCAGCAGCAGCACATGGAGAAGGACAGGATAGCCAAGCTCAAAGAGAGAGAAGAGGCGAAGGAGCATCTTCATAAATTGGTGAAGACTCTCGGCTTCTTAACTCTTTGGTGACGACGCCGGAGTGCATCTGTAACTAACGTCTCTGTCCTCTGCAGCTCTGCGTGAAGATTGAGGAGGAGCAGCAGCAGCGTGAAGAGATGGAGCGCGTTCGTCAGGAGCTTTATTTGGAAGAGCAAGAAGAGGCTAACAGGCAGAGAGAAATCGTAAGGAGCTTTACTCTGCCCAGCTTCCTTCCACAGGAAAAAGAGTGTGTTATGTTGCGATTTTGAATTGACTGTATGGTGTGAATGCTTGTCTGATTCTCTGTGTGACACTCGCTCTTACTCTTTTGTGTAACAGGAGGAGATGGAGAAGAAAATCAGACAGAGGCTGATGATGCAACAGACCTTCCAGGAGCAGCTGGCTTTCAAAGAGATGCGGAGGCAGGCTGAGAAAGAGGAAGAGGAGGCCTTCAGGAAGATGATGATGGCCAAGTTCGCAGAGGACGACCGTATAGAGCAGATGAACGCCCAGAAACGACGCATGAAGCAGCTTGAACACAAACGTGAGGTGGAGAAACTAATAGAGGACAGAAGACGACAGCAGGAGGCCGACATGGTGCAAATTACTCTCTTTGATCATTTTTTTTATCTTAATGTATACTTTTAATGATGTGCTTTGTGATATTTTGATTGCTCTTCCAGGAGCTGGAGGCTAAAGAGAGAGCGATTGAGGAGCAGAAAGAGGCATTGCGGAGACAGATCGTTGAAGAAGAGAGGCAGAGGCTTCTGAAGCGTCATGCGACACAACTCCTTGGATACTTGCCTAAGGTGTGAGGCGGTACACGAGTCACAAATAATTTTACGCAGCTTCAGATCAAACACATGTATGACCGCTTGTGTTTTGTTTCCAGGGCTTGCTGCGGGAGGATGACCTGGAACACTTAGACGAAGACTTCAGAAAACACTTTAAAACACGTCAGGCTGATGCGTTCTCTGATGATGGCTGGGAGGCCAACGATTAGATGCTTCTTCTCCAATCTGCCACTAGAGGGCAGTGTAGAGTTACAGAAGTATAGATACAAGGGACCGATTCAGGGCCATATTTTTATTAAGAGGTGCTGACAGGCACTGAGTTAACATCATTCCAAACAGACGTGGCAACTCAGTCTGCCAATGTTTAACTGAAGAGACAAACCAAATCTACTTATCATTTTTTCTGACAATGTTCTGAGAGACAACTGAGGCCTACAACACAAAGAAGTATCCTAAAATAACAGTGACCACTGTTAAGCTTTTTAGCTTTTAAAAAATAGAAGTGGAGACATTCAGTGGTTATTACTTCCCCCAGTCTAGAGCCTTCATGAATTCTTCTTCTGTGAAGCTCAGCAGCTTAGCAGCTTCAAAATGCATCTGCACACACACAAAAAAAACCCCCTTAAGATTAAAAACTAAGCACAGTATCCACTAACAGAGTAACATGATGACTCGTACCTTTTGCCTTTTGAGAATGTCGATTAGCTTCAGTTGTTTCTTGAAGGCCATGATGAGTTCAGCTTTCTGCTTTTTTAGCATTTTGTTTTCAGCCAGCAAATTTTCTTTACTCTGATGTTCCTCAGTTATTTTGTCCTTATTTATAAAAGAAGGCAAAAAGCAGAAATTAGTGCAGGCTCAGCAGGACCTCACCTTGTTTGTGCAATCGGAAGTTGTCAGAGCAGATATTTTAGTGTGCGGCTTAAAATTCAGTTCTATGTACATGTGAAAGATCTTCAAAATAAGATGTTGGTGTGAGGGACATAATAGCATTACCTTAACTCATATTTTTTCTCTGTATCTTTAACTACACCTATGAATTCATGTCTATAAAAGTTTTTCTGCTATGCCTCTTTAATTAGAATAGCTGATATACAAATAAATATAAGACACTTTGTGGCTGTTGTGTCTCTATAACAAGATTTAATGATTACATATTGGAATTTTGTTTTTGTTATCGGTTTTAAACCTCTGTATTTTAAACAAATGTTTTATTTTGATGGTAGTGTTTATACCTGCAATGGAAGTCTGCTTTTTAATAGGACTGGACTGGAAAAAAAAATCTGTCCTGGCATTTTTGATCCAGGCGGCCCAACATGACCACTCGAAAAAAACAAAAATCATTATATATCCTGCATACACATTATATATATATATTCCATTTTACTTGATTATAGATATTGAAGCAGATAATATAAGACTATAAAACAATAATTAGACCCAAAACTAAAATCATAAACACTGATCTCAATCACTGTCAGAGCGACGTTAGGGGCTTCTCTCTTTTCCCGTTTGTCTCTTACCCTGAACAAACAGCCCTTTTTATACCTACTGCTTCATTGAAATGGTCATCCAGATAGAAATGTACAGACACGCAAGTCATATAAGACCAACTCAGTGTAGTTGGTGACTTGCAGAGTACACATCACAAGTTTGCAGCATGCAAATGGCATGCAAAATTAAGAAGAGTTATAAAAAGCAAAGCTCTGGATAATTTCTTTGAGGACATAAAACAGCACAGCAATATGGATGACCCTCTTTCTGAGGAGGAGGGTAATATAGATTATCAAGCAGAGGACAAAAACAGATCTGATGAGGAGGTCACAGGTGCGAACCTGCTCGTGTTTTGATTTGTTCATGCCATTGTCAATAAAAAAAGTCATCATGGCTATCACAGCCCTTGAAGGAAAAAAAGTCCACGGTGACATTTGGAATGACAGTGATGAGGAATACCTGAATGCTTATAATGGTGCCCTTCTTGCTGCAGTGTACAGATGAAGCAGCGAGACCAAGCATCGACAGGCAGAACTATTTTTCAGGCAACAATGTTGCTTCAGACCTTTATAGTCCTTAGATTTTACAGCAGACATACTAGAGCAACATCTGATATACTTGCTCCCATCAAGGATGTATAGGAGAGATGGGTGCAGCTCCTTCCACTGAGGTTCAACCCAGGGCCACAGGTGACCGCTAAAGAATATTTTGTTCCTTTCCATATAAAAGTGTTACTATAGGCAATAACACTTCTCAGTAATAGTAGGTAATATAACCTTTTTTTTTCTAAATTCTCTTGAGGTTTGATTTACAATTTTTTTTAGATAGAAACAAAAGGTATGCTGAGGAGAGAAAGGACCTGAAAGGCCATGCCAAAAAAATTAAAACCAATATTGTCAGACATAAGGCAGCCTAACAAGGTAACTGATAGGCAACAAACACACTAGATGATTAACCCTTGGAGGTACCTTAAAAAGACATCCACCTTTGTGCCTAAGGACAATAAATGTCCTTAAGATCCTCCAAGGGTATACTGTTCTGAGGCTATTTTCTTTGGCTGATTTAAGACACGGGTCAAAACTGACCTGTTAACTTTAGAGATAGTTACAGAAGCTATCACAAGATGAAGGTTAAAGTAGCGTTATTCAGTACAGACACTGGAAAATCACCACTGTCACTCCATAGACCTGTACACAAAGCAAATTGGTAAGAGAGTTGTTTTATATTGAATTGAATTCATACAAATCCTCCCTTTATTATGCAGACTCAGAGCAGAGCCCTCAGATAAGATGAAGAGGTAAAAAATGTCAGCAGCCTCCACCTGTAAAACTATTACTGTCTTGGGCTGTTGTCTCATTGTTCCCTTTCTAGTGCATCTGCTGTTCATTTTATTAACACCAAAGCAGCTGAAACTGATTAACAACCCCCTCTGCTACTTAACTGATCACATCAGTATCCCACAAGTTCAACTGACTCGATGCTGTACTCTGATTAAAAAGTATTCCTTTAATTTCTTTGACTAGTGTGTATTTCTGATATAAAGACAAACATAGAAAACACAGACATGTTTATACAGGAATCTTTGTTTTAATGCTGTTACCTTTTTCTCCTGTTTCATTTTGTTCAATTGAGTCTTCAGCCTCTCCACCTCCTCTAGAGCTCGGTTCAGGCGGACCTCTACCGTGCTGTGGACAGCTGCTGCTTGTTTGTGGGATCTATTCAGATTTTCTATCTCCTACACAGAGCACAAAAACAGGTGACACACAACAGCAGCTCAGATGAATTACGCTGTCCAGTTTTACTGCTTGTTTTAAAGAAATTGTTGCAGTAGTAATTTGCTCTGAGCTGTTGGCGACACACACCTTGCTCAAACCAGACACTTCCAGTTGAAGTCCATCACATTTTTTGTTGGACTCTGCGGCTAAAGCTCGGTGCTTCTCGATTTGTGTCTGCTGAATGCTCACGGTCTTCTGCAGCCGGGCTCGATCCTCCTCCAGCTCCTTAATCTTTGCGCTAAGCTTTGTGTTTTCATCGTCCTGCAGAGACACAAGTTCAGACACTTCAGTCTGAGCAGTAGAAAAAACAATCCAGATACAATAATACATCCATGCTGTGTTAAACGATCTAAGGATCAGGACAAATAACCCTATATATTTTACCAAAGTAACTTTTGTTTCTCTAATGTAAGGCATCAGCAGCAACATTTCTGTTTATAGTTGTATATATAAATATTTACATTACCTTCTTGTAATATTCACATGAGATCTGGTCCAGTTCCTCTTGCATAATCCGGAGTTTTGCCTTCAGGACTCGTATTTGAGCTTCTGAAACTCCTTAAGCGACAACAATCTGATTTATACGCTTGTGAAAAAATCTATATAAGCATATGAAACTTATCACATGAATTAAATAATCTCAAAGCTCCAGTTTGGCCTTCATTTGGGATTCTCAAGGGGCAAAAATCATCTGACAGAAAAAAGCCTATTCGTGGAAAACTATACATGTTATTTAGTCATTGTTCCCACTGAATAAAAATGTGGTTTATTATTTTTTAAGTGAAATAAGCATTACCTGATCCTACATTGTCTCCAAAGTTAGGTATTTCATCCACAGCATTTTCATGAACTACAGCATTGTTCATTTTCTCCTCCATGCTGTGAATTGTCTTTGCCAAGAATAAATTAGCAGAATCTTCTACAGCTTCAAAATCATCCTCTGAGCTCCTGAAACAATCAAGCACAATTTCGTGAAAACCTGTAAACTGTGATTCCTCCTGGAGAATAAATCTCACAAAAGATTTATGAGCAGAAAGGCTTGAAATGGATTTAGAAATTATATACAAATAAAACTCACCCAGTTTTAAAGTGGGGATCTTTCACTTGTTTTCCACTCAGCATATTTTGTGATCTTGATGCAACAATTCTTTTGGTCGCCTCCTAAAAGAATTACACAAAAATACTGAAGTGACCTTAAAGAACTTACAGCACCTTGTTACCCCAACAGGACACTTCTAAGGTGACCCTGAGAGGTCAAAAACACTGCAACTTAAGAAAACACCAGCAAATAGAAAAATGTGCCACAAAAGCTAAAAAAGCAAATTCACAAAAGAAGTGTATCTGAAGAGACGATAAAGTAATGGAACAGCTGCAGAAGTGCTGGAAACCAAAACATCTGGAGGATTGCACTGAGACATACTTCAAAGAAATGGAGGATTATGTTTTGTGTCGTGGGGTTTCAACAAGATTCATATAATGCTGTCCATCGATGTTTGCTTTTAGCTTTTTACTGTTATCTTATCACTTCTGCTGCTGTTCTTTACTTGTTCATCCATGAAGTTACTGTGTGTTTGACCTCTCAGGGCTGCCGTACACTTCACTCACAGATTGCTTACTTGTTGTTTCCAAGGTATAAAAAAAATAGAAAAGAAAGAAAAAAAAGTGGAATGGGAGGCAGAGCTTTTAGTTATCAGGCCCCTCTCTTGTGGAACCAGCTCCCAGTTTGAGTCCAGCTGACAGTCTCTCTACTTTTGAGATTGGCCTTAAAACCTTACTTTTGAATAAAGCTAATTGGGCTGGCTCACGTGAACCTGAAGCCTCCCTATGCTAAGCTGTTAAGAGCTTTGGTTGAGGGGTGTTTTCTAAGATGCCCAAGCAGTTTTCTTCACTCCCCACTGGCTGCTCCTCCGTGAGGTCTATTCCTGCTAAAAGGGAGTTTTTCCTTACCACAGTAGACAAGTGCTGCTCATATGAGATCATCTGATTGATGGGGTTTCTCTTTAATAGTACTGGGCCTTTTTTCTTCTTTAAATACCAATATAAAAAACCTTGTTTTCAACTTCTGCTAAAAAAAATAAAACTGAACAGAGCTGAAAACGTCCACAACAATAATACAAACTGCTGAGCAAAATGCATGAGATACAGACCTTCACACCAGGCTGCTGCACAGCACATGTGTGAGTCTTTGTTATCCTGCAAGTGAAAAGTTAAACAGAGAGATGCAAATGTACATGAATATAAAAAAATATCTTTCTTTTCAAGGAGGTTTTGCTAAAATTATATATCCGAATGATCGGAGATAAGGAAATCAAACCTTTTACCTGGACGTCTCTTCTTCTTCAGTGTCTGTGAGCAGGACATTGGATAAAGGCTTTGAAAGAACTTCACTTTGTTCTCTCTAAAATAAACACAGAGTTTTGACTTTAAAGTAAGCATGCTCCCTTCTTAACTTCTTTCATCTGACTTTTTTAGTGCTACTGCGCTCACAAATTTTTTTTCTTCCAATTATTGAATGCAAACCTGTTAATAACTTACCATAAGTTGCTCAGCCTGTCTAACTAAATCTGCTGTTTTGGCTTCCAGCTCTGCATTAAGGAATCTGTTGGAAATAAAATAATGAATAAGCAGATTTATATAAACAACTTTTAACAAGTTGAAATTTAGTACTGCAGGATTGTTGGTGATACAAGTGGGTCACTCTATCTGGAGTTACTTTTTTTTATTATTATAGGTAACCAGTACTGGTCAGTGCCCTAAAGAACTACTGATTAAACAAGTGCAAGAAATAGTCCACATATAACTTATTCTGACAGAAATGAGCAACTTAGACTAAAATGCAATGTTAAAATTATCAGAAGGGTTAGTGCAATTACTATATACAAAAATAAAGCAAGCAGGTGTGAGAACAACTCCTACTTATACTCTTCTTCTTTGGCTAAAAGTTCATCTGTGTGCTTCTTTGCCTGACCAGAAGCAGATTTTGACTGTGCCCTTAATTCAACTCTTTTGGACCTTTCAGCCTTACTGGTAGAGGATGGACGTTTCTTGACCTAAGCATCAACAAAAAATGACATAACAGGAGAGTTATCAACAGCTATGAAAAAAAAGTTTTCCTTTGACTTATTATTTTAACATAACTCAAATTTCAAGCTATTTTCTCAGCTTTGAGTTATTTTCTCAGAAGTTTCAGTTAGTGAGTCGAAATAATGTTTTATCAGTGGCACAAACAAGCATCCATACAAAACCCTTTGAAGGACAAATTTCACTTTCCATCTGATACAACAATACCAGCATTTATTTGTTAGATTTATACTCGTTAAGCTCTTATATTCTACTTTTTTCTATTTAACTATTTTCCACCTTTTGTACTTGTTTTTGCTAGTTTACCTGCTTTGTTCTGTACTTAGCTGTTCTAATTTCTTTTTATAAGTGCTGCATTATTTTATATTATCACTATCAGAGGTTATCCAGTTCACTAGAACATGGCTATGCCATATTATAAGGCTCTTTTTTGTAACTTTGATGTGCAACAGTAAGAATGAGACTGTGATGTTATGTTTTGGTGTTTTTTGTTTTGTTTTTTTGTATGTATTTTTTTTTTGCTTTGTCAGTGCTCCTGTTGGCGGAAGCAGAAACGGTTGCCATAGTTACTTCAGTTAGTAAAACATTTTGGTGAGGCACAACTAAAAAGCTCAGCTTAATGGTCTGAGAGACATTAACATGAAAAAGTAATGTTACAAACCTGCGAAATGAAGGGCTGGACCTTTTTATCAGCACTTCTTGCCGCCATCGTGTCGCAGACCGAAACGACGCGATAATGGTTGCATAGCAACAGCTGGTACACCGCGGGCACAGTACGGCAACCCATGAAAGACAATTACGGAGATTTTTAAACGATTACAGCAAGTCATTGTTTATCGACGTTGTGCTAAAATACTAAAAATAATGTTTAAAAAAGGGTACTCGGATAGTTGTTGAGTTATTTGTTATATAAAAAACATTTACTCACACTTAATATTCATTTTAATACACATAAAGGAAACCTAGTCATATGTTAACATTTTATTTCATGCAGACTCAATGTGATTACATCAGAGGGTTGAATGACAGAATACGGTCCGTGTCTTTGTAATAACTAAGTATAGAAGCAATATTTTGGCCCAGAGGCTTCCCTTGAAGACATAACTGGTTAGATAGCCACCAACCACACCTAACTCAAAAGTCATTCTGCACTCTGCAATGTCTTTTGCAGTGTTGTCAACTCTTCAGTAAGGATAATCGGTGTCCTAAAAGTCGCTAGAAGTAGCTAAGTGACGTCATCGCCCAATTTGCATAATTGGTCCTGCCTATGTAATTGTAACAGACGCTGTAGGAGAGAAATAACATCGTGGAAGAGACAGAGTGATTTAAAAAAAAAAACAGCCTAAAAGCATTTGAAATATATTTAGAACTACAAATTATTTTTTTCTTTTCTCTTGTTACTGTTTTCAATAATTCCAACCCTCCTCCTTTATCCGGACTTTGGACCGGCAAAAGTGATCAGAAATAGGCACTCTGGCGGAGTTACTTTTTTTGGTGTGTGTGTGTCTTTTTAAGTTGTATTAAACCTTGTCATCCACAAAAAGTAACAGTAAAAGAAGAACATTTTTAACCATTAACAAACAAAATGGACATAACAAGCCTCACCAGACAGCTTCAGTCGAAATCGGATGTACAAGATGGAGTTATGGCTCTGCAAGGACATCCGATTTCTAAGTTTGCAATGATTGGGCTGATGTATTTCACTGCATTGATTTAAGAATCAATAGTTCAATAGTAAAAAAAAATTACAGTGTAAATGTAACAGCATTGTTTATACTTGTAACTTCAAAATAAAAAGCTTACAGTTGCAATTAACAGTAATGTATTACCCTGTAATTAATAATATTTTTATACATTTTACGCATTAACCCTCTGGTCTCTATCCTGGCCATTTGTGGCCACTTCTTTCTCTTTTTTTTTTGTTGACCATTTTTGCTGTGTTTATGCCAATGGAATGAAAGGGTCTAGTTTTTTTCAGCTTTAATAATTTTCAGCTTCTTAAATTCATCAAAAATATATACACTGAACATTGTTCCTCTTGCCTCGATCATGGAAACTTTTGGCCACCCGAAACCCATTATTATGAAATTTTAAAATTCCTTGTTACTGACAGTGCTAAATCATGCAATTTCATCATTTACCCATTTTTGGCCAACAACCAATTTCATGTAATATTCTTAGTTTCATATAGGGGCTTTTGATGACTTACTACACTGCAATGGACCAATAGAATGACACAGGTTTGATCTTAAGGATCTAATAGTTTGTACATGACATTACAATTTGCAAGATACACTGGAATATATTATCATCAAATATTACACAGGCTGCAGTGAATTTCTGTTGATGCAGGTTATTGACCTTTGAGTTTCCCAGTCAAACTTAGCTTTGAAGCACATGCTAAAAACACTTTTACTCTTGTACATTTCATAACAAGATACCATGGCCAAATTTTTAACTCTCCAAAAAAAAAAAAAAAAAAAAAAAATTCAAAGCTGCAGCTGTAGCACATACAGTAACAAACACTGCTAGTAAATGTGTCCTTTATGCAGGTGCAGAAAGTGCTACTGCTGTAAGTAAGCCTGACAGCTTCCAGATCACTTATTTTTCTAGAAAGATGGCAACGGACTAACGGACTGGTGTAAGGACAACAACCTGTCTCTGAATGTTGACAAGACAAAAGAGATGGTTGTTGACTTTAGGAGGACACGAGGCGACCACTCACCGCTGAGCATCAACGGCTCCTCTGTGGAGATCGTTGACAGCACCAAATTCCTGGGTGTACACCTGGAGAAGGACCTCGGCTGGTCCCTCAACACCAGCTCCCTGCACAAGAAAGCCCAACAGCGTCTCTTCTTTCTGAGAAGACTGAGAAAGGCCCGGCTTCCACCACCGATCCTGACCACCTTCTATAGAGGAACTATTGAGAGCATCCTGAGCGGCTGCATCACTGTCTGGTTTGGGAGCTGTGCCATATCAGACCGCAAGACCCTACAGCGGATAGTGGGAACAGCAGAGAAGATCATCGGGGTCTCTCTACCCTCTATTGAGGACATCTACACTACACGCTGCATTCGCAAAGCCACCAGCATTGTGGCTGATCGGACACACCCCTCTCACACACTCTTTACACTCCTGCCATCTGGAAAAAGGTACCGAAGCATTCGGGCACGCACATCCAGACTGTGCAACAGCTTTTTTCCACAAGCCATCCGTCTCCTCAGCAAAAAGGGACTGACTGATAAACACGCACACACACACATACACTAACATTATCACTCAGCTTAACTCAAATACCTCAAAACATTGAGACTGGACTGACTAACCAACACAAAGCGCAAACACACTGACCTACACCACCAAACCATCGCACACACCAACCTGTAAATGCTCTTTTGCACAATATTATTACTAGATATATTATATATATTTTTTTTTTTTGCACTAACTTGTCTTGTAGCACCTTGGTTCCTGGAGGAACGTTGTTTCGCCTCACTGTGTATTTTTAAACTGTATATGGTTGAAGTGACAATAAAGTTGAACTTGGAACTTGGAACTTGGAAAAGAAGGCCATTGCTGCTCATTTCTACAATCTCCCAGATGTCTTGGAATACAATGCCTTTTTCCCATGAAAACCACTTCACAGTAGTAGGAGTCCTCTAAAACCTACAAATGAAGAGTGATCCTGGAAGAAATGGGGAGCACACTAGTGACCTCAACAATTGCAAGACAGCCTTGTCCCTGATGCTCAACTGAAAAAAATAGAAAGTTTCATCAATTATATGGTGAAAAAAATTAGACCTTTATCCCCTTTTTTCTGAAAGGTTACTGGTAAATGGCCTGCATTTGTATAGCGCTTTTCTAGTCCCTAAGGACCCCAAAGCGCTTCACACTACATTCAGTCATTCACCCCTTCACACACACATTCACACACTGGTGATGGTAATATATAATCTCCGTGGAATTTAAAGGATAAAAAATGAATTTAGATAAATGTCTGGTTTTGGTGACAAGGACTGGTGCTAATTTAAAGACTGAAGTTGGTCAAAGTAGAAAAATGTTTTAATATATCTAAATTTTATAGCATTTTGTGAACGTAAACAAAAGGTGGCCATTTTTGGCAACAAACAAGCTGAGAGGGAGTTTTGTCTATTTTGCTCTCCTTGCACAAAAATAACTGCATAATAATCAATGTGATGTTAATGACAGCTGGGATAGGCTCCAGCGCCCCTGTTATGCAGAAACTGACACTTTTTGCCACAAAAAAGCTGAAGGGATAGTGATTTTTTTTAAAAAAAAAAAAAACAGGATTGAAAAACACTTTATTTCTCAGCAGCATCAATAGTAACAAAAACACAATTTAGTTTTCACTCTCAAAGTCGATTGTTCTTATCTATTTTAAGTAGATTCTATATTTTTAAAACCTTTTATTCCAAAATATTGCAATACAGGATACGTTTTATTCAAACAAGAACTTTATTGAACAAACAATGAGTATAAAACATACAAGCAGATGAAGTATACAAGAGAATAGAACATGAATACAAATAAACAGGGTAAAAAAAATAAAATAGTTATATAAACACTAGGGGTGCAACGATACACAAAATTCATGGTTCGGTTCAATACTTTGGTGTCACAGTTTCGATATTTTTTTGATACAAAAAAATGTTCATGCCTTTTTAATTTGTCATTTATTAAAATTATAAAAATATATTTTAAATCAAAAGTACAGTTTTTAAATTTAATGTTGCTGAAACAACAAAATAATTTAAAAAAAGAATAAATCCATCTGATCGAGAAATCACTCATCTTTGGCAAAGAGAGTTTATTACAGAGAAATGGCTCTTTCCAAAATAAAAGCTACACTATACCCTTCTTCTGGGCTATATTCTCAGCAGCATATTAAACATATCAGGTCCCCATAAGGAGAATCATGTGCTAACAGCTGTCTAAATGACTCGGGTAAAGTTTGTAGCATGCGTGCTTGTTGTTTTTGCCTGCTTCCACTTGTCTTTGCACTAGGATGATGTCAGTGTAAATGTGCAGTCATATTCATTGTGTTCCCACTAGTGCTGTCAGCGTTAATTTCGTTAAAATGACATTAACGCCATAACGCGGCAAATTTCCGTTAACGAGTTACCGCGGATTGCCCGTACATGGGGCTGGACGGAGTCAACACGTTAACAAGCTAAGTCAAAGGAGCTTGCAAAGAAAAGTGCCTGGACTTCTTTAAGTTGCTTGAAGACGTTTCACCTCTCATCCGAGAAGCTTCTTCAGTTCTAAGGTCAAATGGTGGAGAGTCCCAGATATAAACCTAGTGGGAGTGACCCCCCACAGAGGGACAAAAGGACCCCCTGATGATCCTCTAATCGCCTGAGCCAAGGTGTGAAATTGGGCGTGGGTCTCAATCAGCCAGAGTTTCGGGTGAGTTCATTGTGAAACCTGGCCCCACCTTATCATGCGAATTCCTGAGGTCAGATGGCCCAGGATGTGAGTGGGCGTTAAGGCGTCTGGGAAGGGATCTCAAAACTGTATTATAGATGGCAGAGAGTTGGTGTCGTAAACCCCCGCCTCTGTTCAAAGATGGTCGCTCACAGTGGACATAGATGGCTTCTTTCACTCCTCTTTCAAACCATCTGTCCTCTCTGTCCAAAATGTGAACATTGGCATCCTCGAAAGAGTGACCTTTGTCCTTAAGATGCAGATGGACTGCTGAGTCTTGTCCTGTGGAGGTGGCTCTTCTGTGTTGTGCCATGCGCTTGTGAAGTGGCTGTTTGGTCTCTCCAATGTAGAGGTCTGGGCATTCCTCGCTGCACTGTACAGCATACACCACATTGTTAAGTTTGTGTTTTGGCGTTTTGTCTTTCGGGTGAACCAGTTTCAATAACCTGCTCAGACAGAAACTGGTTGTCCATAACATACGCCTGCCCATACCAGAACCCCACCGCCACCATGGGCCACTCGATCCACAACGTTGACATCAGCAAACTGCTCACCCACACGACGCCACACACGCTGTCTGCCATCTGCCCTAAACAGTAAAAACTGGGACTGTGAACAGAACGCCTCTTCAATGTGCCAAACGCCATCGAATGTGCGCGTTTGCCCACTCAAGTCGGTTACAACGACGAACTGCAGTCAGGTCCAGACCCCGATGAGGGTGACGAGCATGCAGATGAGCTTCCCTGAGACAGTTTCTGACAGTTTGTGCTGAAATTCTTTGGTTATGCAAACCGATTGTTGCTGCAGCTGTCCGGGTGGCTGGTCTCAGGCGATCCTGAAGGTGAACATGCTGGATGTGAAGGTCCTGGGCTGGTGTGGTTACACGTGGTCTGCAATTGTGAGGCCAGTTGGATGTACTGCCAAATTCTCTGAATCACCTTTGGAGACAGCTTATGGTAGAGAAATGAACATTCATTTCACGGGCAACAGCTATGGTAGACATTCCTGTAGTCAGCATGCCAATTGCACGCTCCCTCAAGGGTTGCGACACCTGTGGCATTGTGCTGTTTGATCAAACTGCACATTTCAGTTTCATCAAAAAACAGGCACACCTGTGCAATATTCATGCTGTCTAATCAGCCCCTTGATATGCCACACCTGTGCGGTGGGATGGATTATCTTGGCAAAGGAGAAATGCTCACTAACAGATGTAGACAGATTTGTGAACAATATTTGAGAGTCATGGGTCTTTTGTGTATGTAGAAAATTTTTCAGATGTTTGAGTTCATCTCATGAAAAATGGGAGCAAAAACAAAAGTGTTGCGTTCATATTTTTGTTCAGTGTAGTTAGGTTGCTTAATATTTCCACTAAGTACTCTTTAAAATACAAGAATAGGGAGAATGGTGTAGGTTTAAGTTTATTCGACTGATCAGTGTTGCTGAACTATGAAATATTTTGGGTGTAGTGTATTTTTTGCATACAGGTATAACAGAATAGCTTTATTTTTGTTTTGTTTTGTTTTTTTATAAACTTGAGTATGAACTTATACAAAATGCAGCAAAATATTAAAAAAAAATGTTTTATTGATTACAAAATGTGCTATATCAGATTTATATCTGTATCGGCAGATATCCAAATTTATGATATCGTATCAGTATCGGACATAAAAAAGTTATATGTGCCATCTCTATTCATTATAATAATAACATAGAAATGTAAATCACATGGACTTATTTTAGATCAGGGATACAGTGTGGGGATGACAAATGAACCTGACAAGCTTTTTGCAGCAGCAGCTCTCTACAGTTAAACCTTTTATCACCTTTTGTGACTAAGAGTTTTATGAGTTTGTGAGCACTCGCCTTGATTATTGTAATGCACTTTATGTCGGTATTAATCAGGTCTCAATATCACACTTACGAATGGTCCAGAATGCTGCTCTTCGTCTGCTGACAAGGACAAGCAAACATGAGCATATTACTCCTGTTTGTGCTTCTTCACATTCGTTGTCTGTCCATTTTAAATTTTATTGTTTGCTTTTAAAGTTTTAAGTGGCTTGGCTCCCACTGACTTGGCATACTTTGTACAAATACACAAAGGTCTCTCCGATGAGCTGAACAGTCACTCCTTGCTGTCCCCACATCAAAACTGGAACAAGGAAATGAGTTGTCACAACTTCAGGTTTTTAACACCTTTCAACACCTTATCTCCAGGGCACTTTAGGAGAAGTACCAGAGTTAGCTTCAAGTCAGTTTTAGCCAGCTGTTTTGTTCACTTTTTAATCTTTCTTATTTATTGTCCATTTTATTTCTAGTTTTCCATGTTTTACTGTTATATTAAACAAAAAGGAATATTAAATATGGCTTTGTATTTTATCTGTCTTTTAACTGAAAAGTAACTATGTTTTTTGTTACCTTTCTGTATATCAAGGTTCAAAGTCATTTACCCCTCCTAGAGCAAATTAAAACTGTAGAGGATTTGTTATAATTCTTGTTTTTAATAATAATACTATCCTATTACAACTGCTACTGTTAATAAAGACAATAATGCTATAATAATAATGAAACTAGCACACATGTAAAGCAGGAGTGTGTTTATATAAATGCAGTCTGGCACGGTCAGTGATGTCTTCTGCTTACATTTTGTTTTTAATGCTGAGCCTCTCAATGCGCATGCGCCTGCCAGACAGCTACTACTCACCATGCACATGTAGAGCAATCATAACGTGCGGGGCAGGCGGAGCACACCGGAGGGACTAGCTAGTTGTTTTGCAGCTGTCAGGTTGCCTGTTTACTCTTGCCTTTATTTATATTCATGTGTTGGCCCGTGTTTGACAGCGGCTCGTAGTTCCGCTCCACAGGCGCCAGTACTGACCGGCAGTCCGGGCTCGAAGCGAGCGATGTCGGAGGAGCGCAGGGTGGCAGCCACAACAACAACAGGGCGCGCTGCTGTCCCCCTAGCATCGCAACGTCCTCCGGTCCATGTTTAACCCTGCCGGGCGACTACACCTGTCCTCGCCTCCCTACCGGTCCACTCCCGTCCCACAGTGACCTCCAGTGATGGCTGATGAGGACCCCCAGCAGCAGCAGCCGCCGCCGGAGAGCGGGGCGGGGAGCCTGCCCGGCCTACTCCCCGGGCTGCAGGGCGCTGAGGCCAGCGCTCTGCAGCTCAGGATCAAGAACTCCATCTGGTGAGGAGATGTTTACTTCACACACTGTTGTGCTGTGCATACGCACAATTTGATGCTTAAAGGGAAACTCATCACAACATTTTTAAACTGCTCTTATCATGCTTGGACGCAGTCGCATCTTCACTGCTTAAATATAATAGTAAGTAAATAATAACAACCGTAGAAGTCCAGCATGTTAAATGTTAGACACATGCACGAGCTGCAGCGTGTGCTTGTGATAAAACAGCCGGATAAACCTGGTAGAGTAGACACTGTGCAAATGGAAAAATTAAATAACTCAAATAAAGCTTAAGGAACTTGTTTTATGCTTGAGTAACTAATTACTCGACTCCTTGAATAAAGGTATTTCTTTTTACATCCCACCACCGTGTTTATTCCAGTAAAAGTAGCTATATTTAACACAGGTATCACGAGGAAAATGCTCTAGAAATAGCAAAAGTAAAATTACTCTGTATGGCTGACATAATGGTCTCTGTCAGAGCAGCACATTGTATTCTAGTGATTATTGAGTTCTTATTACTCTTACGTGTATGGCAACTTTATTATCATTTTTATTTTGCATTTATTTGTTTTACGCTGTTCATTTATCTGAAGCGCTGTCTTATATTTTAGTTTTATATGTAAAATGGGACAGAAAACAGTGTACACTTAATCAGGAATTTGAAGACTGATTCCTAATGCAAGAGAGGAAGGAGTCATATTTCCCCAATATCTTTCTCTCTTTCTGTAATATACAGTGCTGTAAAAATGATGAAGTTGAATGATGAAGCTGATTTCAATTTCACCAGCAACACTGAGACCTGCTGAATCAAGAAATCAGTACAATAGAACCTGTCTAAAAAAAGTGAAGCAAGCCTAAAGCAACACATCATGCCACAATTTAAGAAAACAATCGAAAAACAAAGTTATTGACATCTATTAGTTTGGAAAGGGCTGAAAAGCCATTTTTAAGGCTTTGTGAACCACCTTAGAGTGATTATCCACAAATGGAGAAAACTTGGAAGAGTGATAAACTTTCTTAGGAGTGGTCAGCCTACGAAAATTACTCCAAGAGCATATCAACGACTCATCCAAGAGGTCATATTAGAACCCAGAATGACATATAAAGAACTGCAGGCCTTATTTGCCTCAGTTAAGTCAGAGTTCATGATTCAACAATAAGAAAGAGACTGGGAAAAAATGGCATCCATGAAAGAGTTCAAGGGAAAAAAACACTGCTGAACAAAAAGACAAAGGCTCACATTTGCCAAAAAAAAAACCAATCTTCATGATCCCCAAGACTTTTGGGAAAATATTCTGTGGACTGACAAGACAAAAGCTAAACTTTATTGTAAAGTTCAAGTCCTGTTACATCTGCCATAAAGTAGCATAAACACAGCATTTCATAAAAAGAACATCATACAAGGAGTCAAGTGGTGGTGGTAGTGTGATGGTCTGACTGCTTTGCTCTGGCTGGATGACTTTCTGTAATTGAAGGAACCATTAATTCTGCTCTCTACCAAAAAAATCAGTGGTACTTGGGTCAAGCAGCAGGACAACGATCCAAAACACACTAGCAAGTCCACTTCTGAATAGCTCAAAAAAACAAAATAATAAAAAATAAAGAAAAAATAATAACAAATCAAGAAGAGGCAAATCAAATTTATATTTTTAACCAGTTCTCAGTTTGAGAGTCTCTGGCAGACTGGAGCCTCTCTCAGCTGTCATACTGGTAGCCAGTTTGTCACAGCTCTAACACAGACAACCAGTCACACTCACACCTGCAGCCAATAGATTTGAATCCAGGACCTTCTTGCAGTGAGGCAACACTGCTAACCTCTAGGTTCTGCTAGTGAATCCTGAGAAAATACCAGCGCCTTTCTGTGTGGATTTTCCATGTTGTCCTTGTGCCTGTTTGGGTTCCAGCTTGCTCATTTAGAACTGTTGATTCTAAATTGGTTATGGCTCGATAAGAGGCTTAATGTGAACAGAGTAAAGGAAAAGACTTGATTTCTTGTAAGGCACGTGTTCTTTTGTGTCTGCTACTTAAGGTCCTGTTCTGACCTTTTTTTCTGAATGAACTTAAGTTCTATCATTTAAATATCAGACAGCAAGAAAATGTCAAGGAGCTGAACAACCGGAAACACAGAAGTTCAGAGTTCAAATCTCTTCAGGAAATACCTCAATAGAAACTTCACGTCACTGTGCTGCTAACAGTTTATCAATAACATGTTAGGATCCTGAACGTTTGCCCAGCTCCATACAGGTTTAACCTTTGAGAGGAGTAGAGCATAAATATTGGCATTCACCTCAGTGACCTGCTTCTGGGTGGCTCTTGGTGAAGTGATACAGTCGTAGTCTGGGTCAACAAGTTCACCTGCAACATACCGTCACTCTGTCTGCACAGGAAGTCTGGACAATCAAAGCACTGATTTTCAAAACCCCACCTTTGATGTTCATGTTAGCTTAATCGAACTCATTTTAATCTGGATTGTTTACTTGCTAATTAAATAAAGAAATTATTAAACATAAATTTCCCCTAAACTGCAGTATGTTACAGGATCTTCTCTTACTGAAATAACTGAAAATAAAGTGCTGAAATGAGTTGCTGTACACCTACCTTTACCTGACATATTTTACCTTACTAAATAAAAGCAGACACAAATCTTTTTATATAACAAAACAAATGTCATGTACTTTCTTAATTTTATAGCTTCACCAGACAACAGGACATTGACCCTTTTATCTTTTTCACTCCTAACTGCTTTGATTGTTTGCTAATACCGAGGCTCTTACAGAGGATACTGACTTATGGCTGGCTTTGTATTGTGGATGGCTTTAGCTTTAGTTGCTTTTCATTTGTTTAAAATGTGCATGTTTACATGTGTCATTGGGTTTGTTGTTACAAACATTTTTGTTTCCCCATTGTGGTTTACTTTAGCAAACTTTTTACCTTACTCACTTCCATGGTAACAGCGTAGCATGTGGCTGTGAGCCACATGTCATTGTGCACATGTTGTGTATTCATAAAAATGAGTGGGCTCGTAATAAATCATATCGAAGGCTGACCAGCCGCTCACCGGTCCAGGCCGAGAACACTGGAAATCATCCAGTTTTGGTCCATAGTCGGTCAATTGGTACATCTCTAATCTACTCTAAAACTATACTATTTAACCCTTCATCCAACAACAAATTTCATCTTTCATCTCTAATTTCATTTCTTTTTTGTTCACTGTAATCTTGCCTTTTAAAATGCTAACTGTAGCAGCTAAATTGTTAGCCGTTTCATCTGTCCATAAATTGTTAGACCACTATGTAAGCCCTTCGTCCATTCAGTTAGTAGTAGCTACTACTCTATATAACAGCTATTCATTTAATCAGATTTCATTAATTTATCCCTAATATTTTGACAATTGTTATATTTCTTCTGTTAATCGACAATTTCAAATATTTATCCTGTAACTTCTAGTAGCTAAATGATTAGCTAGAATTATTGGCTGTCCATAAATAGTGGTTTACTAATTTAAATATTCATCCACTAAATTAGAAGTTACTATTAGAGTCACTAATTTTTGATTTAATTAAACTCGGTGACCAATTTTATGTATTTATCGCTTATGTTTTTGCTGTTTCTTTTGTCCTGTTTTAGGTATTCATTACTTATTAAAGTGATAGTTTTAGCAGTTACCGTAGCTGCTAAAAGCATATAAGCTAAACAACTGACAACCTTTTGTTAATGATAATTCGATATTCTTTTCTTTTCTTTGGTTAGGACTACTTTAATTAGCTGCTTTATCTATTTATTTATTTTAAAGACTTTTGTGATTTGTTTTTTTCCTGCACCTTATCCACTAAAATTGATCCACTTTCACTGCTCCCTTGTCACATGGGGTTATCACAGCAGGTAGCTCTGCATGTTTGAGTTGACAGATGCTCTTACTGGCACAACCTCAAACTATGGAGCCACTCTGCACCATAGCCACTATGTTTAGTTTACTGTAACTGCTTCTGCTCCAACTTGTTTGTTTGAGGATTTTTAATTTTTATAAGTTGAACAAATTTTTCCATGAACCCCCCCTAACTTCTGTATAAGTACCTACTGGGGTACCTTTAGCCCTAATTAGGAATCACTGGTCTGGGGTTAGGTGTACATCTTGCTGGTTTATCAGCAACATTTGTTTGTCTTGTTTCAGTTCTTTATTTTCAAGGCTTAGGTCTTGTAGAAAGTTGCGTCAGGTGTCGTTCAGTTTATCTGCTAAGTCTGCCTCACAAACGGCTTACTGACGGTCTTTCAGCACTGGGAAATCCTCAGCCCCCTGGTAACAGTCAATTAAAGTGAACTGTTCTTGTCATGGCTTAGAGCGTCTCCTGATTCTGACCTGCCCAGCCCAAGTAATAGTCTTTAAATGTGACCTACCTTCTGCCCCACAGTCATTGACAGCATGCTGCCCTGTCTGTGGATTACACATGAAACCTGGACTTTATTCCTCAGTTTGGTTTTTCTGTCTGCAGGAGTGGACCTAAATAGGAGCGACTAATTGTGATCTTTCCCGCTATCAAAGTCTGTTTGATTGTATGTTAATTTTAGCTGTAGCCTGAGCATCATTCCAGTCACTCTTGGATTTTTGTAGTGATCTTTGATAGTTTTTAGCTGCAGCTCAGCAGTGGCTGTTTATGAGCCTCAATCAAATCTTACACTTCTTCCGGATTGACCTCAGGTTAAAACCTACATCATTAAAAGTCAATCAGGAAGAGAATTTCATGCTTCCGAGGCCTGTGTGAGATGCTAAGGCAAAAAATAGAAGTGACACATGATCATGGTGGGACACAGGGAAGCAGTTACATGTGTTAATATGTTATTTTTGATTAAGTTTTTAATTTAAGTTAGGCTTTCACTAAAATTTGCCAGAACTTTGTATTGTACTGGTAACCTTTCTGTTGAATATAGAATAGGAGTATGAGAATAAAACCTGTAAACACAGAAAAATATTTGGGAAAACTGTTGATAAAAAAGATCTTCTGTCCTAAACAATGTTCATGTCCCTGTTTCTTTTTACATATGACCACATGTGTTTGTGGTGGTGGGATACATGACCTGAGAGATCCTGAGGGGAGGGTCGTCTCATACCAAACATTCCTCTGCTTTATAAATAAATATACTTCAGACACAAGTGCTCATGTTACACCGGCTTCATGCTAATTTGTACTATGTCTCTGTTTTGCAGCAAATCTGTTCAATCAAAAGTGGAAAACATTCTGGTGAGTATTCCTGACATATTTGTGATCTGCAGATAACAACTTTAAGGAGATTTTTCATACTCTCTGTTCAGATATTGTCAGAAGATTATTAGTGTTCCCAATAGGTTGAGCAGAAAAAACATTCCTACCATCCATGTATAGTTTAAAAATAAAAATAGAAGATCCGTTGGTAGCAGTGTTAAGCATTAACCTCCTGAGAACCAGCCTATTCATTTATGGCTTGTGCAATGGACGTTTTTGGATGTTTTTGATCTATATATTTTGACTTATTTGAGCTACCCTAATAAGTCTTGTTGTGCTAAATAGAGGACATCCATTCCATTGATATCTCATGCGTTTGGGTGGCCTCTTTTAGCTCCAAAGAGGAAGGAAATCAAAAAGTTCAATCGGAAGAATCTCTTTTCCTCAGTTCTCAGGAGGTTAAGGGTGTATCGGAAGGCTGAAACATAGACTGTATAACAAAGATGGTTTCTTTGTCTTATAATATAGTCTGCATTGCATCTATGGGATGTGCAGTCACCTGCTAGTTAATGTGAATTAACGAACAAAGAAAATAATTTCACTACCAAAAACCAGAACACAGACTTCTTGGACAGACTTTATATTCTGTTTATAGCACAGTTAGAATATACAGTTCAGTGTCTAAAATTAGCAGAGGTGAGGCCTTGCTGACAGCTAGCAGCCACACCTCTAAGAATCCCAGTACATCCACCGCATTAGTTGCTTTGCACGCTAGCGGTGACGTCACCACAGCTTTGTTCCATGTACACCAGTGTTTAGGGCATGGGTACCTGCTGCAGTATTCTCCTGAACAATAGGTGTCTCCACTCACACAAAATTCCCACACCAGTGTGGGTATAAGAGGAGAGGAATTCAAAACTAGAAGGAAAGAAACTGGTGAGTTTTTTTTCCCCCTCCACAAAATGTAATCTTTCAAACTGTTGCTGCATCTCACATCCGCCATACGTCACTGTTCAACAGGGTGACAAGGGTAGGCATAATGGATTAACACAGTTTATAATTCAGTCCAATAACATAACCTTTTTAAGTCGTTAAAGACAAATGAACCAGAGCTGTTTCTTCTATAAACTTTAAATCTTTCCACATTTCTTTGTAGCTAGCCTCAAGTGCTCATTTTGATGTGTTGGGGTGGTTCACTTAATTTCTTGTTGATAAAACACTTTTGATTTAAGTGGGAAATTTCTATTCTAATGTGGCTGCTATGTGGTGTTCCACAAGGATCTTGTTGAAATCCCTTTTTATTTTCATTAAATTATATTCTGCAAATGTTTTTGCAGCTTAACACAGACAAGACAGTCTCTAATTATTGTTCTGGGGAGTATTTTCCCCCCGTATTAGACACACCTGGTTCCTTTCTGATCCACTGTGACCAAAATTGAGCCCAATAATCTATTCATTAGCTTTCAGTCTTTAACCTTTGATGCTCACATCAAGTCTTGGACCGGCTCTTGCTTTTTCTATTTAAGAAATATCGCTAAACTCAAGACTGTTGTCTCAAAAGTTAGATTAATCTTGTCCTGCTTAGAATATTATAATGCTCTGTTTTCTTGTCTGTTGTATTAATTGTGTCAGTTTGTCCAAAATGCTTTTGCAAGGCTTCTAACTCCTACTTGCGTTTTCTTATATTACCTCATTGTTAAAGTGTCTGCACTGGCCTCTTGTGAGGTTTAAGGATGAGTTTAAAATCTTCGTTCTTGCTTTTATGGTCTTACGAGGTGAGGCCCCCACTTATGTCATCAGTCTACTCCACCCCTATTCTCCAAACTTTACTCCCTTTCAGCTCTTGCACCCTTGCAAGAGGGTACAAGAGCAGGTAGCATCACATGTTTTAGTTTGCAGATTTTTCAAACTAGGGATCTCGTGCTTCTTAGGTGAATGTGTAAACTATTATACTATAAAAGGGTTGCACAACTACTCCCGAGGCCTACATGTTTATATATGTTTTATGCAACAATTTAGTAATCGTTTGTTTACACTGACACAGTGATCTGACTCTATAAATGCACTCTTAACAAGTCAGCATCAGCTCAGTGGATGGAGTATGAAACGGTGTGAATCAGTAAAGTGTCAGATTAATGTCTGAATATGATTTTTATTCTAGAGCCCCTTTAGCGTACATCAAAACAGGCACTATATAATTTATGCCACAATATTTGCTTTGTTGATTAATGGCCAGTCTTTTATTTTTCAGTGCAGTCTGACAGCAGTTTGTTAAACATTCACAATCCTTAAGCTCTTAAACAGAAAATATCAAACAGAAACTGAGAGTCCGAAACTGAAAACGCTGGGTTCAAAACCCACAACACCCATTATTTTTGTTGGGGGAGGGGAAATCCACATTTGGAGGTTGGAGGGGTTGGTGGTGAAGCTCACACTTCTACTATGCAGAGGGAAACAAGTTCAATACTTGGTGAGGATCAGGCATTACTATTCAATTTAATTTAATTTATAAATAAATATCTATATATCTAATATATATTATATAAATAGAAATAGAATATATGTATTTATATTTGGTACGGTAATATAAGCAAGCACTTGGTGACGGTGGGAAGGAAAAACTCCCTTTTAACAGGAAAACCTCTGGCAGAACAGGCTGGGAGTGGGACAGCCGTCTCCTATGACTGCTTGGAGGTGAGGGGAGGAAGACAGGATTTCTACTACTGGGTTGGTTATGAAAGCTTTGTCAGTTGCCGTGGTGATGTAGCTTCACTTTGTCTTAATGACACACAGCAGGTGTTTCTGACACGAATGTGCTTCCTATTGTAATACATAGTTTCCTGTTGACTGTTGTGAAAAAAGGCATCAGTTTGTATCTGTGAACATGAACAAGTAGATGCTTTTCATGATTGCTTGATGTTTTGTTATGGTCTGTTTAAGGATAAATTGATGAGGGCTGAAATAATTTATTTATTTATAATAAATGTCTTGGTTTGCTTGGAATAGAAGAGAGAATTATTAATTTGAAGCATTGGTTTTGGTGAAAATCAATTCCAGTGAAAGCACGCTGTTGCTGTTCTTCAGTTACTGATGTAAAATTTACAGCACGTCCTGAGAGTGATGCTAAAATCAGTCCTGCTTAGGCTAAAATGCTGCTTATAGAGCTGTAGCTAACATATTCAATTACTGAGAGATGACATAACACTTTATTAGCGAGTGATGTTTTAACTTAACAGAAGACCCCGCTGTAATGTTTCAGCTTTAAAACGTTAACTGTGCAGCTGAGGCTTGTGCTTTTTTAAGATAAACAAAACAAATCTTTATATTAAGATTGCATCTTGGGTTAGTTTGTTATTTCCACTATGTAGTCTTCTTGAACTTGTAAGTCCTGAATTGTCAAAGAGCCTCTTTTCTCCTTTGACCTGCTCCCTGGCTTAAAGAATAGCACTGCATTCTGTTAATACCTCAAATGATCTGTAACAATTCAAAAAATGTATTTATTATGCTTTTCAGCCTTTAACCTAAGCTCTTGTTTGGGATTCATGGGATGCAACAGGTCTAAGTATGAGTGACTGAAGTGTAATGTGCAGAAAAAAAAAACCCACATGCAATGTCCGCGTGTAAGTATCAGTCTCAGGAGGTTAGAGAGCTTCAGCAGAGATGAGAGGTTGATTTTGTTGCCTTCAGACTGAAACTTTAACTGTTCCCCTGAAACCAGCTGCTGCCTCAGACTGATATGTAACAGACAGAAAAGAGAGCGCTATCAGTGCCATCTGGATGCATGCAGTGGGTGGCCAGGCAGCTCAGCCATGGCTCTGTCATTGTTTCAGTGTTTACTGGAAAGACTGAAGATTTTTCTTGTTGTAAGGATGCTTTGCTTGTTCTGTTTGTTGTCTAAATCGTATTTCAATTCATGCTTAATGCAGACATTTCTATCTGTATAAAAGTGTAAGTAAGAGGAAATCAAGTATGGTTATAGGAGAGGGGTGACACGCAAAGGCTAATGGACTAATAATTAGACATAATATTGTTTTAATAATAATACAAATATTTATTCGTTCAAATAAATATTTGTTCAAAATAAACATAAAATAATATTATGATGATATTTTGAACAAATAAATATTTTCTAGTCTCACCATCTCAAACAATATTTCACATTTTTCTTTTTCTTATGTTGTAATGATTTTATGTTTTATTGATGAGTCCGGCAAAATAAGAACTACGTTATTAGATATTTTAAAATTAAAATAATGACAGAGTAGTTAGTAATGAAAAATAACAGATGAAATGTTGAACTTGTAAATAATGTCCCTTATGAACTATCCTAGTCCTGCTTTCATTAATGCATGTGCTGCAGGTGTGACCGACCTGCTTGTTTAACCATCTTTGACTTTTTGTTTCTACAGCAAGATGTCGAGAAGTTCTCAGACATCGAAAAACTCTACCTCTACCTCAAGTTGCCTTCTGGTCCGAGCAGCAGTGTCGATAAAAGGTGAGGATATACTTGTTTCTAAATGTTTTTATAGAAAACTGGACAAAGGGATAATGCTTACAAGCTTATTGAAACAAAAATGCCTCGATTAGCGTTGGTGTCATTTATCAGGCCTGAGGTGACAGTAAGCACTGCATTGTTTGTCTTCACAAACATCACTGACCCACATCTTTGTGCAGTGACCAGAGCGCCCTGTCATCGAGTCGCACGCAGCAGATGCACGCATTCACCTGGATCCGAAATCATTTAGAGGAGTACCCCGAGACCTCGCTCCCCAAGCAGGAAGTCTACGACGAATACAAGTAGGTGTAAAACAGAAAGGCGGAGTTTAGTTTCACTGCATAAACCCAGTTTTCTTGGAGAAATAAAGTCATTGTTGACGTTCACCTTTTGCATAGATAGCTGCTTCCAATGTTTGAGCCTCTTTCTCCTCCAGTTTACTGCAGGCAGAAGCATCAGTATAAATAGATGCTGCAGGCATGAGAATCACAGAGCCGCATGTGTCGGTAATATTAGAATGGAAAGTCTGAGACAGCCATTGAAATGTTCTGACGCTGTTATACAACTGTCTTTTTAACTCAGCTAGAACAAAAATACAGCGTCCTCCAGAAATATTGGCGCCTTCAGTGCAGACAGGTCAAAAGGCTTTAAACAGACCTAACGTGCTTCATGTTTTTCACAGTCAAACAAGCACATAGGACACAGTCACTGTGTAACTTTGGTGCTCCACCACTGCTCAGGTCTTCATTAGCTAGCTGTTTTAGCAGATGCAGATGTTTCTACTCAGAATAAATGATATGAAATAAAGGTCAGCTGTACCTGCTTATCGAACAGCAAGATGTTAAACTTTAAGTGATTGAGTGGGGTCATATGTGCCATTGACATGTTTTATTTTTCATTAAAAAAATTCTGACTACCATGAATCTGTCTGCTTTTACAACAGGCACATCGGTCTAGCAAAGATAATCAAAAGTTGTGTCATTTATGATCCTGAAAATATATGTATGGGTTTCTTTTGGCATCTTAGGTTATGATTTTTTTTGTAATTTTCCACTTCTACTCATCACATTGTTCTGAAGTAAACCACGGCTAACAGACCTTAAACATGAGAGAGATTCAGACAAGCTTGCTGCTTTCAGGGTTTTGAAGACGTTGCTAGCTCAGTTACCTATATACTACATATATTACTACTATACTTGTCAAGAAAAGAAAGGCAGCTTTATGTCATGAAATAAGTTGTGTTTAATAAGTGTTTTAAATCCTTTGCTATACCTGAAAAATGGCACATGCCTTTCACCATCAGGAACATAGTCAGACACTTCCTTGGGAAGCATTTAGTCCTGATATTTCAACATCTGTGTAACTGTGCTAAACCTCCTCTTTGCTAAAAAAAAATATTAAAATCTCTTAAATTAATCCTGCAAGATTCACAGCTACAAGTAAACAAAAGGTGAACATTTTATTAATTTCAGAAGTCCAGAAAAGTCTAACAGTCCAGAAACAAAGGAGGCAACAGAATTCGAAAACCAGCAGGGAGCTCACAAAGAAGACAAACAGACAATCATTTCGTCGCTAGTTGCTAACTCGTACAGAACTTTGAACATCTATTGTGTCTATCGCACAAAAGCATACATGGCTACAGAAAGTTTTTAGCTCAGACTTGAAAGTCTGCTTGTTGGTTGGCTCGGGTCAAGGTCGATCACATTCACACCATAAACAAAGTGCTCTGGAGTTCATTTTGGAACCACATCGAGACCACCCCCTCCATAGGGTCTCGGTACAGTTGTTTAGGTCCCCACCCTGGTTAGTGTGTTCACATCTGCACCCAGAGACAATGACAGCCTGGCTATGATGCTGACCTGCACTGTGTTCCTAATTAAATAAAATGAATTGTATTAATTCTGTTTCTGTGTTTCAGGAGCTTCTGTGACAATCTTAACTACCACCCACTAAGTGCTGCAGACTTTGGGAAGATGATGAAAAATGTATTCCCGAACATGAAGGCGCGTCGGCTCGGCATGAGGGGAAAATCAAAATATCCTTTACTGGAAAGGAGTGTAGCAGTCTGGCCTCTGTCTCTGGTCACAGACCATCTGCTGCTGCAGTTCATAAGCTCGCTAAATATAGACGTGAAATGAAATAAAGCCCCCCTCTGCCTTCGAAGCAGAAGCATAATAATGCAGAGACCCTCAGGGGAGTCACTGTGATCTTGACCTTCACGTAACATTGTGATTTTATTTTTTATATTTTTTCTGTTTAGCTCATGACGTCTAATGGAACATCTTGGTTTATTGTCATGACCTTTATCTGCATTATAGTCTTATTAACTTTCAGGTAAAATGGTCTGCTTAGAACTCAGCTCCTCACGTCAGTCCTTATCTACATAATCTACAAAAACTAATTCTGTGCCAATGTTTGAAAAATGTGAAATTGTTTTAAATTAGAAATTGAAACCGTTAAAATCATCCTACAGACTAATTTTAAATGCAGTGGCTCGCTATGTTGTCACTGAATCCTGTGAAACGAGCAGCTTTGTCATAATGTGTTGAAAGACAGGATCCAAATGCAGACTCCAGGAGGGAAGCTAAACACAGCTGAAAACAATCAAGGTAATGTACAATGAAGTAAAACTAAATACAATACACAAAAGACCACTAACTATCAAAAGTCAACTACCAAAACAGGTAGTGAGAATTGTAAGTAGACGAGGAAATTGACAATCTTAAACTTGACATGGGGGAAAGACACTTAAGTGAGGCAAAAAGAAAACTAACAAACTGATACCAGCACCAAATTCAAGTAAGCACTAAATGCTAAAAATCTAAGATAAAATGTAAATAATTAACAAACTAAGAACCAAATATTGGATATGTAATGATATAAAATATTTTAAAGTGTATAAACTGAAAAAAAAAAACTAGTTCAAAATCCAGGACTATAACATACTTACGTTTACTTTATGCTTAATTTTTTTGTAGTTAGTTTTAAATTAAACTCTAAAAAGGGTGGTGGGCATTTTTTCATACATCTTGTAGAGAATTGTTTCTATTAAGGGTATTGATTAATGGCATGAAAATTTTAATTTAATATTATACAAACTGTCTGAGAAAAAGTAATAAAACATATTAAAATAGGTCAAAAAAGACTGAGAACAAGAATAATATTCAATATGATTCCAATGGAATTATCATAAAAATTTAGAAGTTAAAAGAATAAGATGAAGTTAAACCAGGAATGTCAGAATCACAAAATCTATACTAAAGTTTTTTAACACTAGCATCCCCAGGCTTCTACCTTTCTACCTATAAAACCCGAGAGCAGCCAAATGGCTGGTAGGCTTTTAGCTAAGCTTTAGCTTCAGCCAAGTGGAAGCTAAATTGGCTAGTCATTCATATGTATATTAGGTCGTTACCTGGGAATTCTGGAGGGAGGGGAGTGGGGGTGTGTGATTGAGGGCGTGGGGGAGCTGCTAAAAGCTGTGCACTTCCTTTTGTGTTTCATCTTGATGCATTCTCAATCATCCAGGGAAATAAATCTCCAAAAGTCACCAACTTGGAGTGTTTCAGTTTGCCATCTTCGGGAGAAATCAACACACATGGGTGTATGTCCTTTGTTGCTGAGATTTATTGATAAAAACAGTACAAAAAACCAACCATTTGTACACATATTTACAAATAATAATAAAAAGTGAGTGAGTACATTTCAACATTTTCAGCAATCACTCACAATCCTGGCACTGCCATGGTATCTGTAGTCTGCATTTACCACATGTGTATCTGTTGCAGTGAACACATCGCACAGTGGCATGATTGTTCTTGCATTTGTGTGTTTGTGTCCCAAACTTGTCAGGTTTACTTGCAATATACTGCAGGAAACAGCACCGAGTCTTTGATGGGAAAAGCTGTTCATCAACGGTGATATGTAGACCAGGGTTGTAGCACGTGATGCAGTTGGTGACAAATGATCCCCACACACTGGAAATTGCAGCGAACTTTGCTCGATCACTGCGGGTGGACTTTTCATCAAAGCGTAGGTGTTGCATGATGTCTTGGAAGCGGTTTCGTGCCATAGTTCCAATTATCTGTGGGTTTCCCAGGTTTGCTGACCAGCAGTCATTTAGAGATGGAACCCTGGTAACCCCCCGCAAGATGCATGGCCAGACTAGACTGTCAAAATATACATGCGAAAAATAAAAAGTAATATTAACTGGCACCATAGAAAAATCGTGAACTGGTTCTTGTAGAAAACCGGTACCCAGCATCCAATTTTTTGAATTTGCTAGTCTGCTTGTTTATCCATCCGATTTCAGGTTGTGTGCCAGAGGAGGGAAATGGCATTGCAGTATATAGTGTGGATATGGACATAACTTTTATTTTTATTGCACAACACCGCGATGGTAAAGTGGAGGAATTAATTCTTCTTGGTGTAATTAACATACTGCATTACTTTTAGGGAAACGCATTCAGTGTAATGTGTGTAATAATTACTTTTTCTGAGTAGAGATCCGAACACTGATCACAACAAACATGCAACAACATTGTATCAATGTAATGTCTTTCGTATGCAGCTTAGCAATGGTGGTCATTGTCAAAGTGAATCAATGAGGAATCGAATCAGTAAGTGATATCAATAATAGAATCAGAATTACTAAATTCTTATCCATTCCCATTCCTTGTTCACAGTACTCAAATGGACTCCACAGTCACCAGATCTCAATCCAGTAGAGCACCTTAGATGGGAAATGTGCATCATGGATATTCGCTGACAAATCTACTGCAACTGTGTAATGCTATCATGTCAAAGTCTAAGGAATCTTTCCATCATCTTGCTGAAAATTAAGGCAGTTCTGAAGGCACAAAGCCCGTAAATATGTGTACAAATGGTTGGTTTTTTGTACTGTTTTTATCAATAAATCTCAGCAACAAAGGACATACACCCATGTGTGTTGATTTCTCCCTAAGATGGCAAACTGAAACACTCCAAGTTGGTGACTTTTGGAAATTTATTTCCCTGGATGATTGAGAATGCATCAAGATGAAACACAAAAGGAAGTGCACAGCTTTTAGCAGCTCCCCCACGCCCTCAATCACACACCCCCACTCCCCTCCCTCCAGAATTCCCAGGTAACGACCTAATATACATATGAATGACTAGCCAATTTAGCTTCCACTTGGCTGAAGCTAAAGCTTAGCTAAAAGCCATTTGGCTGCTCTCCGGGTTTTCCTGGAAAGTGGATTGGTCGTCGTGGGCCAGTTGAATGGCCCCCAAGGTCTCCCGATCTGACCCCCTTAGACTTTTATCTTTGGGGTCATCTGAAGGCAATTGTCTATGGTGTGAAGAAGGAGTTTGCCCCCTCACATATACTAATGTGCCAGGACTTTAATATCACCAACCATTCCCATGTTAGTACGGTGTGTCCATATAAATGGCCCACCCTGTATTGTTCATCTTTGTTTGAATTGGTGACACTGATGCTTGGTTCCCACATACAGTATTTAATTTCTTGACTACAATTATTACCTGACTGGACAAACATGAATAGAACGTATAACTTCGCTGACTCTTGGAGGCGTACGATGGCATACCAATAATTCTAGTTATTTGTTCTAGTAACGGCAAAGCTTTCAGCTACAATTAAACAAAGCCTGAGTGTAGTATGAGACATTAAAGTCATCAAAGAGTGTTACTTAAAAGTATAAATCAAGCTTCATCAGAAGTGAATCTTTAACAAAAAACATCTGTCCCAGCCAGTGAATACTATAAATACTTTTTTCTGCTGTTTTGCACTGGTCTACTCATCATATATTATCATCGTTTAGAGTAGCAGAGCCAAATGCAGGTGGCTGCAGGCAGAGGATTCAAACAAAAAGTAAGCTCTTTATTTCCAAAAGAAGCATAATCCAAGGAGAAAATCCAGAAAACATAGGGATCAAGAAACAAGAGAAATTGCAAAGAACAAAGGAAAGACACTCAGAGGGTAATTAGGGGAAGTGAAAACAGGAAGGTGACAAGAAAAGGCTGAAAGTAATTAGGATTAATTAACAAAGTAAAACAGGAAATAACTGAACACACAGACAGGATACAGAAAAGCTGTGGACAAACCAAAACACCAGGTCCCTGTACTGCAAAGCCAAATCAACATACCCAAAGTATCCGTTATCTGGATTCGCTTTACCCAACATCATCAAAGGAGCTTGGAAAGAAAAGCGTCTGGACTTCTTTAAGTTGCTTGAAGACGTTTCACCTCTCATCCGAGAAGCTTCTTCAGTTCTAAGGTCAAATGGTGGAGAGTCCCAGATATAAACCTAGTGGGAGTAACCCCCCACAGAGGGACAAAAGGACCCCCTGAGCCTGGCCTGAGCCAAGGTGTGAAACTGGGTGTGGGTCCCAATCAGCCAGAGTTTCGGGTGTGTTCATTGTGAAACCTGGCCCCACCTTATCATGCGAATTCCTGAGATCAGATGGCCCAGGATGTGAGTGGGCGTTAAGGCGTCTGGGAAGGGATCTCAAAACTGGATTATAGATGGCAGAGAGTTGGTGTCGTAAACCACCGCCTCTGTTCAAAGATGGTCGCTCACAGTGGACATAGATGGCTTCTTTCACTCCTCTTTCAAACCATCTGTCCTCTCTGTCCAAAATGTGAACATTGGCATCCTCGAAAGAGTGTCCTTTATCCTTAAGATGCAGATGGACTGCTGAGTCTTGTCCTGTGGAGGTGGCTCTTCTGTGTTGTGCCATGCGCTTGTGAAGTGGCTGTTTGGTCTCTCCAATGTAGAGGTCTGGGCATTCCTCGCTGCACTGTACAGCATACACCACATTGTTAAGTCTCTGTTTTGGCGTTTTGTCTTTCGGGTGAACCAGTTTTTGTCTGAGCGTGTTGCTGGGTCTGAAATGTGTCATGCTTGGAGAAAACTCTCCTGAGTTTCTCTGATACGCCGGCTACATAGGGGATGACAATGTTGTTGCGTCTGTCCTTCTTATCCTCCCTCGCTGGTGTCTGGTCTTCTTTTCTGTGCCTCTTTGCTGACTTTAAGA